CGTCAAATCTTCCGCGCTTCGCGCTGGAGGGGTAAACTGAATTCAAACAAGGATTAAGAGACGAGATTGGTTCAAAGATTCGTCTTCTTCCTCTAATAATTTAATGAACCGTCAAAGCTTACGCGCTACGCGCGGGCGAGAAAAAACTGAATTCAGACAAGGATTAAGAGTCGAGAATAGTACAAAGAATCGTCTCCTTTCCCTTACAATTTAATGAAACGTCAAAGCTTCCGCGCTTCGCGCGGGAGGGGGCGGGGGAACTCAATTCAGAGAAGAATTAAGAGTCGAAAATGGAACAACGAATCATCTTTCTCTTATAATTTCATTAAACTATGAAAGGCCAAAGTTTTCATGCTTCGCGCGGGAGGCGGGGGGGGGGGGGGCTGAATTCAGTCAAGTAATAAGAGTCGAGAATATTACAACAAATCTTCTTCTTTCTATAATAATTAATGAAACGTCAAAGCTTCCGCGCTTCGCGCGGGAGGGGGAAAATTGAATTCAAACAAGGATTAAGAGACGTGAATGGTACAACGATTCGTCTTCTTACTTTAATAATTAATGAACCGTCAAAGCTTAGGGGAAACTGAATTCAGACAAGGATTAAGAGTCGATAATAGTACAAAGAATCGTCTCCTTTCCCTTATAATTCAATGAAACGTCAAAGCTTCCGCGCTTCGCGCGGGAGGTGGGAGGGGGGGGGGGGAATTCAATTCAGAGGAGAATTAAGAGTCGAAAATGGAACAATTAACGAATCATCTTTCTCTAATAATTTCATTAAACTATGAAAGGCCAAAGTTTCCGTGCTTCGCGCGGGAGGGGGGGGGCTGAATTTAGTCAAGTAATAAGAGTCGAGAATGGTACAACAAATCTTCTTCTTTCTCTAATAATTAATGAAAAGCCAAAGCTTCCGCGCTTCGCGCGGGCGGAAGGAAACTGAATTCAGACAGGGATTAAGAGTCAAGAATGGTACAACAAATCGTCTTCTTTCTCTAACAATTAAAGAAAGGTCAAAGCTTCTGCGCTTCGCGCGTAATTGGGGGGGGGAGTTTTTGATATCTTATCTCGTTTATTTTGGTGATAAATTACACTTTCATAAAATACATATTATGCTCAAATTGTAGCTCGCTCGCTTCGCTCACTATTTCGAATTGTGAAACCAGAAAATTACTTTTCGGGCAAGAGGCTATAGCCCCCCCCCCCCCCCCGATGAAAATGTCAAAAATTGTACCGGTATGGTGCTTCTAATATGATCTTGTCAGTATTGGTATGTTGAGTTGAAAAAAACGGTCTGCGCAATTTTCAAATTTCCGGCCCCCCCCCCCCCCCCCCCCCCCCCTATTGGAAAGTCCTGGATCCGCGCCTGGAACATATTTGAAATTCAGACAAGGATTAAAAGTCGAGAACGGTACAACGAATCGTCTTCTTTCTCTAATGAATTAATGAACCGAAAAAGCTTCCGCGCTACGCGCGGGGGAGTGCAGGGGGAACTTAATTCAGACGAGGATAATTTTCGGGAACGGTACAACGAATCGTCTTCTTTCTATAATAATTTAATGTAACGCGGAATTGATTTAGACAAGGATTAAGAGTCGAGAACGGTACGACGAATCTTCCTTTTTCTCTAATGATTTAATGAAAAGTAAAAGCTTCCGCGCTTCGCGTGGGTGGGGGAAACTAAATTATTTTCGAGAGCGGAACAACGAATCGTCTTCATTCTCTAAAAATTTAATGAAACGTCGAAGCGGGGGGGAAAACTGAATTTAGACAAGGATTAAGAGTTGAAAACGGTACAACGAATCGTCTTCTTTCTTTAATGATTTAATGAAACGTAAAAGCTTCCGCGCTTCGCGTGGGAGGGGGGGGGGGAAACTGAATTTAGACAAGGATTAAAAGTCATAACGGTACAACGAATCGTCTTATTTCGCTAATGATTTAATTAAACGTAAAAGCTGTATTCAGACGAGGATTATTTTCGAGAATGGTACAACGAATCGTCTTCTTCCTCTAATGATTTAATGAAACGTACAAGCTTCCGCGCTTCGCGCGGGATGGAGGAGGGGAAAACTGAATTCAGATGAGGATTAAGAGTCGAGAACGGTACAACGAATCGTCTTCTTTCTCTAATGATTTAATGAAACGTAAACGCTTCCGAGCTTTGCGCGGGAGAGGGGGATGAATTAAGACGAGGATTAAGAGTAAAAAATTGTACAACGAATCGTCTTCTTTTTCTAATGATTTAATGAAACGTAAAAGCTATTTTCAGACGAGTAGGCACGTACGGAAGAGGGGGGGGGGGGGGGGGGGGGGGGGGGGGGGGGGGGGGGGGGGGGGGGGGGGGGGGGGGGGGGGTTTTAGGGGGTTGACCCTACCCCTTTCGGTTTTTTAAGTGTGTATTTTGGAACAACCCCCCCCCCCCTTTTCTGTGATTTTTTTTTTTTAAATTAAAACTCACCCCCCCCCCCCAACGGAACAAAATGTCAAATTTTCAAATTTCGAGACCAAAAAAAAAAAAAAAGTGTCCTCTTTTCCCCCCCCCCCCCCCCCCCCCCCCCCCCCCCCCCCGGGATCCGCCACATTTTACAAAACACACAAGTTCTCATAAGATGAATCAGAATGTACATAGTTTACAGTATTTATTCACTTTTGGTGAAAGCTAGGCCACAATGAAAATACATACATGTATTTAAAGGGCAAGTCACCAAAAGTAACTCACTTTCAATAGAAGAAGAAAAATCAGACAAACCAATAAAAAAAAAGTTTGAGCAAAATCGGATATGTTATAAGAAAGTCATGGCACTTTAATGACATGAATAACTTTGAAAATCACAAGACAAATTGGCAACTCACTCATAAGTCCGAGAAGTCATTTGCCTTACTAAAGTTTTCTTTATATTGATAATATAAATGTCCAATTTTACTCGTACAAACCTTATTTCCTCACACCAGCTTCCAAGTTATATTGAAATATGTTTTTGTGGATACTATCATATAGATTATTTTTTCCAGTTAAATCATGAAAAATGTGAATTTTTGAAGAAAAAAAATTCATATAAAAATCAATGATTATGAATAAACAATATTCAGAAAATATCAATTCTTCAAAGTTCATAAAAGATTTTTTGAAATACCATGCATGCAGTATGATACAAATCATATAACTTGGGCAAAGGCATGGGGAAATACCTGCCCCCCCCCCCCACTCAGTGTTATTTAGGGTACTCGTATGCATGTTCCCTCCTTTTGAAAACACCCCCCTAAGTCAGGTGTGTAAAGTCAATACGGGCCGATTTTGTGTGTGTCACGAGGCGGACTTTGCTGCATGAAAAGTACCCCTTTACCGGACATTTTGGGAACATGAATGCTGTCCCTCCGTTCCCAGAGAGAGAGAGAGGGGGGGGGGGGGGGGGGTAAAGTTCTTGGGGATAAAAAGGGAAATTAATAGGATAAAAATATATAAGGCAATTGATAAATAGTGAGGCAATGATGTCACAAACTGATAACCAGAGTGGCAATTGGTGTAGTGATTTGTTAAGTTCCACAGTTTTTCAAAAAATCATAACTTCCTTATTAGTTATCCAATTTTATTCACTTTTTTTGTTGTTGCTCTGTTTCTCTGCATCTATTAAAAGCAAATTATTTTTTAAGTGGACTTAGCCTGAAATTCTTCCTTTTTTAAAATAAAAAAACATAAATCAAGAGGCTGTTTTCACAATGCATTTACATTCGTTTGCTTCTGACAAAACCCCTGAGCTATATTGAAAAACTGTAAAATTGTAAAATTAACATTTAATGGTACTTATCAAACATGCCCCACACACTTGAAAAATTATCATACACAAAAAGATAAAAATCAGTTAACATTTATAATGAGTAATTTCATTTGGATTAGCGATTATCATTAATCACTACTGGACATGTACTGTATTTTGACTGTAAAAACATCCATTCATTAGCTTTTCAAATCTTTATATACGAGGGAAATTGGTAACATATAATACCATGTTATGGTACTTTAGTTGATGGCCAGTAATTTAATTTAATAGCCTCCTAAATGCAAATGCAATCATGGATGTCTGAAACTTTGCCATTGTTAAAAATATGTAACAAAAAATGAGACTTTAGGTTTATTTATTCTGTATTCTTGTTATCATTCTTCGTACTTTAAATAATTAAAAAAATTATTGTTGGGCTTTATACATATGTATATGATATTATAAAAATATTTACAAGAAAAATTGCTTTGTTTATTTCACACCAATCTTCTTTCCCACTAAGTGATTCAATGCACATGATGTAAAAGCCTACTGAGCTAATGTACATATTTTTGTTTCTTTCACCTTTACACAGTTTGAAAATGCTATTTACACGAATTTACAGCATACCTGTACATGAATATACTTGTCAGATGTTCACTTAAAACCCCTACAATTTCTATTCCTACTCGTACTATACCCATGGAGGCAAAGCAGCTTTTTGAAACATGGAATGTTGTAAAAGTTTGTTGGGTATTAACATGTTCATGGCGACTCCCTGCACAACTTCCAGATGGACTACCTTGAAAAAATGCTGCTGGAAAAAAAAATAGTGGACATTTTTGTTTTTCTTTTTCAAATGACACCTCACACATGGTAAGATTACGTTCAACATTAGTTTGACATAGTGGCCAATTTGAAAAATGACCTCCCCCCCCCCCCCCCCCCAGCAGCATATTTTATAACAAGCAAAATGCTCTCGGCAGTCTCGCCTGCATTACGCAATTCAATATGATTAAAAATTGAGGTTAGGACATTATTTATAGGCAGGGTGGTCCATTAGCAGGCCCTCCCAAAAGTATTCTCTGAATATAATCAGCATTTTGAAGTGAATATTGACTAAGAATCATCAGAAGACTTTAATGAAATATGAACAATTTTTTATTTTTATTAATTATAGTATTTAGTTGTGAAAACATAATCCAAGGCTACTGACATTTGACCTTGACTTTGTGTCATATGATAACCCTTGGGTACAAGTTTCATGGAATTTGAACAAACACTTGAAATTATGCTAAAAATTGAAAATCTTGATGTTGATACCAGATTACAACAAAGTCTAAGTTTGCATACCTGATATGACTTTTGACTTTCACTTTGTCACCTAAAAGACTACTCATATGATGGGTGATACTTAATAACCCTATGTCCAAGTTTCATGGAAGAGGATATAATGAGGAATGTAATTCTTTCAAACTTAAATGTTAAAAATTCTAAATCTTAACCTTTGGTTAAGATTTTGATGTTGATGCCACAACATAGTCTAAGTTTGTTGACCTGAAATGACTTTTGACCTTAACTTAGTGACCTGAAATTCTACTCACAAGATTGGGGATACTTGATAAGCCTTAAGTCCAAGTCTCATTGAATAAGAACGCTTTTGCTATGTAGGCAAGACAAAAATAGTGCAGGGAGGTGCCCTGAACACGTTGAAACGGAACAACGTTTTACAACATCCAATGTCTCAATAACCCTAGAATGTGTCCCGTGGGTACTAAATAAATGTGCACTAGATGATTTCAGAATAACGAACCTGATGTGAAAAAAGAAATTGCGAAATATCTGGAATTGACCTACTTCTATAAATTTGTATCCACAGCATGTGAACATATATATATATTCATCAAGTTAGATAATAACGTGAATTTATATTACATGTCATACTTTTATGTGCTGCTAGCGTGTCTTTTTGAAGTGCTTCAAAAATAAATCATTATAACGATTATCAGATTATTAAAGACGATTTATGAAGTCATTAAACACCATATCAGCAAGGCATTAGCAGCATGGGTATTCTGGCTCAATAGCTGAGTGTATGTATGCAGGCATTCCCGTACTAATGTTCGTGTGCTGCACACACATACATATCACATATCATGGTCTCCAAGCTTACTGGTTCTAACACACTGTGTACATGATTGGGCATGTATCAGAAGGGTTTTAGGGTCGTACAAGCTAGGCCATTGGACACTGTTGGATACATAGTATCTCCTTCAAGTTCCATGCGCTCTCACAGGTCAGCTTATTTAACCTTCTTTTGGGCAGTTCCAATGTTACACTCATTAACCTGTACAAATGGAGAGAAAAAAAAAATAATGATAAAATAAAACAAGAGAGAGAGAGAGAGCAAAGTATATGAAGTGAAATTTATAATCAATTCTACGCATTCTATACAAAAGAGCTGCCAACTTTCAGCAGATCATTCTGTTTCTATTTAAACGCAGTATCAAAATAGTTCAACCCTATTTTAACCGGGCTATATCAGACCAGGTTTTTACAGAAGGGGGGGGGGGGGGTGGGGTGGGGGCCGGGGTCAATTTGACGCCCCCCTAAGATCACAAAAACCCTAAACAACCCTAAAAAGGCCGCGCTATTTGAGGTCTTGATACGGCCGGGGGGGGGGGGGGGGGGCCACTATGCCCCCCCTAAGATCTCCGCAAAAATTTGCACGCATGTCAAGTGAAGTGTATAGAATACTATGGTAATTTCAATCTTTCACTCATTTGCATGTTTATGGTAATTTATGCAAATAAGTTCATAAAATTCAGATTTTTACCCATAAATCATATATTATTCATATTTAAGCATTCTTTTTCACTACATATATTCGTTAGACCATTTGGAATAATATTATGGAGGAGCCAAGTTATTCCTTATGTTATCTTATATTTTTGTTAATTTCTTATGTATTTCATTTTTTTTTAACTTATGTATTTTATTGTTTTTGTAGTTTTATTCCATTTCTTACTACAATTCAACTATTTTGACCCCAAAACAAACACCTAAACTTTAAACAAGACTAAATAACCAATGTTTTATCTCTTTTTAGAAAAAATGATTTTGTACACAAATCACAAAAATTAGTGATTTTCGGTCTGACATGCAAAGAAAAAAAAAGGTCACGTGACTTTGTATCTATACGTCCAATTTTCAAAAAAATTGTTTCAAAAGAGGCTTAAAGCTCGAAAGAAAAAATGATTTGTTATGTTTCTTTATGTACATGTACCATATTGATCATTGCTCTAATTAATAATAAAACAATAATAAAATCTTGACTCTGTTTTGTTGGGGGTAAACTCTGGGCCATTATTATTTTCTTTTTTGTATATGTTAAAGACACATAAAAGTGGAGTCTAATGGGGAATTTGACACTGTTCAGGTGTTTACTCAATAATCAGGATTATCCTTCAGTTTTATGACCAACAAGCTTTATGTAACGCTCTGTCTTTTCACCACATGGTAAGTCCTTATCTGACAATTGCAACAACCGAAGACTCTCAGAGAGACGAGGGAGTATTTGTTGAGTGGACTACAGGTATGCTGTGTGCAGGCTTGTACACCCATTTATGGTATTCCCCCCCCCCCCAAGTCTGGTGTCAGCAAATTATGACCTACAGCACATGGAAACTGCGGACCCTCCCACTTTAAATGGTGCCTCAGCTGCTTACCTTGGTGGCGAATCTTAGTGAGCAAAGCGTCTCTTGGAAGCTTTCTTCCCTGGGTGAAATGTTGACAAACATCAGTCTGTGAGAAATAAAAAATATAGCTGGCTATTGATCTCAAGTCTCAACAAAACAAACACTTTTTAAAGCTTCAAAATAAAAGATTAGTTTTAAGACAGAGTAACATTAACATCGTGGCTAAAACAGGAATTAACTGATATATTAAAGGTAAAGACCAGTTATGGTCATGTGATTGCATTGTGAAAGAAACATTGTGGAATCGATCAGAAAAGGTTGATCATCTAGCATATAAGTATTGGTGTGTACTGCAAGGTTCTGGAATCATCAAAATGATAAGAAATATGGCCCAGTCTTCGTAAAGTTACATGCACTGTACACAGAAAGATGTATATGGGACTATACGCACACGTGCGCGACACATGCGTTTATCTCTCACAGACCATGTAGATAAACTAATTTACCAAATATATCAATATAGTAGGCGGTTTCCCGGCAAAATTCTTATCATCATGTATTAGTCAAAACATATTCTTTCACATGATTGGTAATAGAGCTTCCATTTCATTTTTTTGAAATTTGGGGCGTTTCCAATACTGGTCTTTACCTTTAACATAAATTTTCAATATGCCAACAGTATCGTCTCATACTTCTAACTAATTTAACATGATAGATTCCACATGGCTATCACTGCATTTTAAAAGAGAAAAATAAGGGAAACGCTCTCGGCGCTCTCGCCTGCGTTACGCAATTTGATATTATGAAAAATTGAGGTTGGGACCTTATTTATTGGCAGGATGGCCCATTAGCAGCCCCCCCCCCCCCAAAAAAAAAAAAACATGGTCTGAAATAGCCCAGTTAAATAGGGTTAAATTACATTTGACGTTTACTCTGTCACCTAAAAGACTAATCACTTGATTGATGATACTTGATATCCCCTATGTCATTTTTCATGGAATAGGAATGTATACCGGTACTATCAAAATTATGATAAAAATTCAAAATCGTAACCTTTTGTTAAGTTTTGATGTTAATGCCTCAACATTTTGTTGACCTAAAATGACCTTTGACCTTTTTAAACTTAGTGACCTGAATTCTACTCAGATGATTGAGGATACTTGACAACCCTTTAGTCTAAGTTTCATTGAATAAGAACTTATACTTTCAAAATTATACTACAATTTCAAAAACTTAACCAGAGGTTAAGTTTTTGATGTTGACGCCGCCGCCATCACCGGAAAAACGGCACCTATGTCTCGCTTTTTGCTACGCAGGCGAGACAAAAATCATTCATCAAATTAGAAAAGTAATGTAACCCCAAATCATTCTTCTTACTGTCTGTTGTGTTGTGTACATGCACCTCAGTTATCTACAAATATCTTAGATTTCACACTTACAGGAAAATTCAGCCAATGGATGTTAATTTAAATTCTATTAAACCATGAGAATAGATTGATGAATAAAGCAATAAATTACAATAACTTTAAAAAACAAACTTACGTCTTTGAATTGCCTCCCAGTGAATTCTGAAGCAGATGAGTGAGTTTACTATTCCTATAAGGAATATGAGAGTCTTTGTTTGCTAGGGCCAGGATAACTTTACCCAGGTTGCTCAGACTTTTGTTGATGTTCTGTGTTTCTTTAAGACGATCACCAGTGGAACCTGATGATGAGAGTCGCTCACTTCCAGCTAAATCAACTAGATTCAGTGTGCCTATATCATACAATGAGAAGGGAAATACAAATAATAATGCAGTAAGGGTATCAATTGAATATAAATTCTTAACCTTATGTAGCCTTGGGGGGGGGGGGGAATTTTATGACTTTTTTCTTTCGAGTCTTGCGCATCTTTGAAACAAATCTTTTCGTGATTTGTGTCCAAAATAGTGCTGTAGCTTGGAACCTAAAACCCAAAACCCAAACCCGGCAATTTTCCAAATTTATAAACGGAACCCGGAAAGGTCCGGTAACCCAAACAGAGTTGGACTGAAATAATATTGACTTTTAAAAAGGCTATTAAAAGGCATCTACAACACATCTTGTATGACCTACTGACCCTGTCACCACTACATTTTTTATCCTGCTGTGGTCTAGACATGCCACGTGCCGCAACTTCCAGCTGGGATTCAAGACAGTTACAATAAGTCCCAGGTCAACATACATTATCATCTCTTAATCTAGACCACTCCTTATGATGGAGCACTAGTCAAAATACTGATGTCCCTGTAGCTGTCAGAGTGCCCATCCAACATGCTCTACTACGATTGGTCTGTCAATTAAAAACAAGCACGTGCTATACGCGCACTGAGATTTGCATACATTTCGGAATATGCTGGCCCTGGTAGCCGATAACAAAGGCCATGTTGAATCTTTGAACCCTGTTCAGAGAAACCGTGGTGTAATGTTACACTCAGCTGGGTGCAAGATGTCTGGCTTGCATTAATCAATCTCTGATAGGCAGGCCAGGGAATGTCTGTGTTTTTGTTTTTTAAATGCTATGGGGGAACTGAGAATATCAGAGCGAAAGAGATATTAAAAGAGATGTCAATGAATTTTGGGAAGGGATCAAGAGACAAAATGAAAGAAACTCAAATTGACTCAGTAATATTGTTAAGGGCTGATGAAAAAACTGCATAATTTTTGTATGAAATGTTACATATTATATTCCTTTTACTGTAATAACCCTCTAACACAAAATCTTGAAAAAATTCTCAAAACACAAAGATATTTATGTTTTTCTTTGAAGGTGTCACTGTACGACACCCTTTAACAGAAAATTCTCCCAACCTTTTTTTGAATTTTCCTGATTGTTTTTCTATGAAAATAAGACATAAGAAAACGTTTTCAACATAAATGTCTGGAATGGTATATAGAGCAAATTCATTGCTTTGTGACGATTCACATCCACCCAATATGTAATTAAACTAATATAGTTGGGAGAATTAAGGAATTTATCAGATCAGTTTTTCCCAATTTTTATCATTATAATAATGGTTTGTTTTTAACTCAAACTTTCAGGTTATCTTTAATTGTACACCTTAGCACCATTTTCTCTCATCTGAAAATTGTTACCGAGTCCCTTTAAAGATAAACTCCAGTACTGGTAAAAAAAAAATTAATTCTCACACAATCAAACGAAACTTACACTGAATGTTCAAGATTACAAATAAATGACATGTGCCAAACAATTTTGGAAGAAAATGTATACTGGCTGAGTAATGAGCATAGAAAGACGAGGACGAGGTGTGTTGTCCCATATATAGCTTTCTATGTGAGTACTTGTTACTTTACCAAGACTCGGTCAAATTTATTATGATTTTGATGACTCCAGAACCTTTACATTTCACATTACTAACACACTCTTCAAGATTTGTCAAGCTAACCGACTGGTGACGGGGTTCAAGGATTACATACAATTGCGTATCGTCCGCGTATGTTACATGGTGTATGTGTATATGTCCATTAATTACATCGCTGAGCGGACTCGTGTATAAAATAAACTTGAGCGGCCCGAGGACTGAACCCTAGGGCACGCCATGCAAAAGAGGGAAAGGGTTAGATATACTTTTGTTGATTACAATTCTCTGTTCTCTATGTTCAAGGTATGATGTAAACCACTTTGAGGCTGTGCCACCAATCCCAAACGTGTGGCAGAAGCGTTCAACCATAGAATGATGATTGATAGTGTCAAACGCTGCTGAATAGTCTAACATTACTAAGGCTACTTCTTGACCCTTATCAACTGCCAATAGTAAATCATTGTACAATTTGAGCAGTGCAGTCTCTGTAGAGTGAAACTGCCGGTAAGCTGATTGCATGTCAGAAAATAAACAATTATCATTAAGATACGCTTTCAGTTGATTAGCTACAGGGCGATAATTCTTTAAATCATTACGATCTATCTGAATGGGGCTTTTTCAACACCGGTGTTACATGATACGCACTTGGGACAATACCAGTACATAATGACTGGTTGATAAGCTTGGTAATAAACGGAACCACTTCATCAATAGAATCCTTGAGGAGAGTTGTTGGTATCGGATCAAGCCTGCATGACTTGGAAGGACTCTCCTTGATAGTTCTTTGTACAGTTGCCTCGGATACTACATCAAATCCATTGAAGGAGTAGTTGCAGGGAGACAAGCTCTCAGCAAGATTGCAATCACCACCTAAGGAAGAGACGATGCCTTGAACTTTCTGGTGGAAGAACTGTCCAAAGTCATTAGCTAGCTGCACATCGGATGAATGGTCAGGAAGGATATGTTCAGACGCAGGTGCAGTAAGTTTCTTCACAAATCTAAAAAGCTGCTTAGTATCACACTGTTCTATGGTTGATGTAAAATAGTGTGACTTAGATTGCATCAGAAGTTGGTTGTAAGAGCAGCACTGATCCCAATAAAGTATTTCAAGACGAGACTTCATCCATTTACGCTCAGCTCCACGACGATGCCGTCTCGCCTCTCGAACTTCATCATTGAACCAAGGGGCAGACGGTCGAAGAGAAACAGGGATTGTGCGCTGTGGTGCATGTTTGTACAAAAGTTAACGTATTAAATTACAAAATTTGTCTGCGAGCAGTGATGGATCCTCAGAGCAATATTGTTGGAGGCTGGAACTCATAATGTCACTCCTGAAATCGAACTTAGGCTGTACATGTATTTTGATACCATGTACACTTGTACCTTCATATCAAATTTCATTAAAATCTGTCAAACAATACTAAATTTATGGATCGGAGTCCAGATTCGCATATTTAATGAGCTATGACCTTTGACCTACATACTCGGAAATTGAACTTAGGCTGTGTTTTGATACCATGTACCTTCATATCAAATTTCATTAAAATTCGTCAAACATTACTCAAGTTATCTAATGGAAACCAGATTCGCATTTTTAATGAGCTATGATCTACAAACTCCAAAATCGAACTTAGGCTGTGTTTTGATACCATGAACCTTCATATCAAATTTCATTGAAATCCGTCAAACGATACTAAGGTTATGGATCGGAGACCAGATTTGCGTATTTAAAGAGCTATGACCTTTGATCTACATACTCAGAAATTGAACTTAGGCTGTGCTTTGATACCATATGTTCCTTCATATCAAATTTCATTAAAATTCGTCAAACATTACTCAAGTCATCAAATGGAAACCAGATTCGCATATTTAATGAGCTATGACCTTTGACCTACATACTCCAAAATCGAACTTAGCCTGTATTTTGATACCATGTACCTTCATATCAAATTTCATTAAAATCTGTCAAACATTACTGAAGTTATCGACCGGAAACCAAATTTGTTACGGACGCACGCACGGCAGCATTTCAATATCCAACTCCGACTTCGTCAGCGAGGGGATAATAAATAACATAAGGAATGTCCTGGCTCTTCCAAATTTGTTTTTGTATATGGCAAAAGGGACATAGTATCTTTAAGTGGAACATAAATTTAATAATAAACAAGATGTATATTTATTGATCAATGATTCTGTGAACTTGAACATGTGACCTCACAAATTAAAACTATTTACAATTAATCTTTTTGTGCTTAAACCTACTTAAGCCCATTTTGGTTGAAATTGAATCAATTTTTGTTAATTCATCACAGTAATGAGATATTTTCTGGTAGTCACCATGGTCACCATAACACTTTCATGATATTTTACATCTTCATTCTTGTTAGCTATTTCCTACACACTCATACATAACTCAACCAATGTTGGCTAATTCCTACACACTCATACATAACTCAACCAATGTTGGCTAATTCCTACACACTTATACATAACTCAACCAATGTTGGCTAATTCCTACACACTTATACATAACTCAACCAATGTTGGCTTTAATTGCTCCAATGCTTTTCAAGTTATACCTATAAAGGCTGATTCATATATGACGTGCTTCACAGATAACACAGAGCTCAGTGAATACGTGCAGTTGCCATTGATTTACACATTAAAAAAAATAAATTATGTGGCTTTTTTTGCAGCGGATTACAGTGCCTTATCTAAACAAGCCTTTACCCCATATTTTCTGGTATTTTTCACCACTTACAGTTCATCCTTGCATTCTCATACATGTATATACTTTCTCCAAATTTGGTTAAAATCTGTTCAACTGGTTCTCAAATTATCATGAAAAAACGAACAGACAACCCAACAAAAATAATGCCTCTTTCACCACCTTCGTTTGCGAAGATAAATAAAAATAAAAACACATTTGTGTAAAATGTAAATACCCATCGATCATTGAACAACACATAAATTGTAAATTTTGCTGGGAGCTTAAGGGGGGTCAAGCCTCCCCCCTAATCACCTGATATAGCCAAGTCTTCCATTAGCTGATTGAAGAAAACACAATCTAAAGAGGTAGTAAGACTAACCTTGGCAATTTTCCCCTGTGAGTGTGTTTATAGCAGTGAGTTTTAGTCTGAACACACTGTGGCTCCTAGATGATCTCTCATTACAGTTAGTGGCTGCCACAGCCCGGTTCTGAGATGCCTTGCTTAACAGTTTGTTCACCTGCATTACACATAAATTGAATAGAGAGAGGATAGGATTTAATGCTGATTTCATCAGGGCCCATTCATAAACAAACACCAGATAGTTGACATCTATAAGCAGAGCTCACTTTGCATTTCAGTATCCTATAATACACAGATGAGATAGCATGTTGTTCATGCTGCCTTTGTTGTTGATAATGACCCCCTACTACAACTGAGGCAGTTTACAGTGTCATGATTGAGGCTTAACCCTAAAAAGGCCGTGCTATTTGAGGTCTTGAAATGGCCGGGGGGGGGGGGGGGAGCCACTATGCCCCCTCCCCTAAGATCTCTATCACCGCGAAAATTTGCACGCATGTCAAGTGTATAGAATAGGGGAAGTAAGTGGGATAAAAGTATATAAAGCAATTGATAAATAGTGAGGCAATGACGTCACAAAGTTATTATTGCATTACGAGTAGTTAGTTGGGGCTGGCTGTGCCTTGGAGGTGAAAACAAGTATCAAATTTCTTCTCCTTGGATGACTGCTTGGGATATATGGGTGGGACACTACACCAGGGTTCCCCCTTACTCTTTCAAGAGTGCGGTGGCTTCTTAACGTGGAAAAGGTGGCGACTCTCCTACTCTCAAAACCCCCATTTAACATCCTTTCCATGAGACTGTGTCTTTGGTACCACCCCTACTCTTTAGTCAATCAAGGAGCAAGTGGGTTGGTTCCAATCAGCCTGGCTTACACTCACCTCATTCTCTGATTGCACATCTACAATGTTGATGTTCGTCACCTCAACTTCATTGGACTTGGCCTCAACCATGCGTACCTCATGCTTGACCTTAGAGTGTGGCGCCCCCAACAGGTCTCGGATAGTCTCATTGTAGATTTCAAGGAAGCTGGCTTGAAATGTGTACTGCAATAAACCAGTTCATATACATGTATGACAGAGCATTCTTATCCTACAGGTTAATATCATATTTTCATCAGTATTATAGAGATTGCATAAATCAGTTGTAGCCTAGTCAGGAAAACCTAGGAAAACTTGAGTATGATGCAATAATACACACAAAATGTAAATACATTTCTGTACTTGTCTGAAAAGGAAAGAAAAGTAAAACATGGTTTATTCAGTTTATACAGCATGACATAATTAAATATTTGTAGGGTTAAAATGGCATCGTACAGAATTCAATAAATTTGTTTTAGAGCATGACTGGCCTTAAAAAATGCAATAGTAAATACTAGCCTAAGTACAAATAACAAGTCCATCAAAATTGTCATTCAAACAAATCCTTCATCACAATGCAGGATTCCTTTGCTGATTCTTGCACACATGCCCAAAAGTTAAAAATCTCCTTTAATATATATTATGCATTTCTTATGCTTTTACACAAAGATATACAGTAGAGAAAGGCATATGAATCTAAGGCTTACAACATGTTCGAATGCCCAAATACAGAAATCTTTGATGTAAAAGATAAATAGTTGGGAGCTATTTTTCATGCTGCTTAAGCCTCGGTCACAAATGCCTTTACGAACTACTACGAACGCCGTACGAACGATTTTCAGACAATGAAAATTGGGGAAGACAATGGAAAAACAGGGAGATTTGTACGAAATTATTGTTCGTACGAACCTTTTTGACCGTAGCATGACCTAACATCCCTTATCTTCTAAACCAGCAGATGTAAAGACTGGAATGCGAACTTCATGCAATGAAACCTACCATTGATGGTAAATTTGCCATTAATGGTAACTTCTAAGGAAACCTTGATTTGATTGGCCGTTGAGTGATATTGCCATGGTAGTAATATTGATGTCAAAGTTATCATCAATGGTAAGTTTTATGCAATGGGCCCAGCTGGATAGCTTACCTTCCATCTGTTAGCTTCTAGCAGATATAAAGACCTGCTGGACAGCTAATATTAATGTACTGCTTACCTTCCATCCGTTAGCATCTAGACTTCTAGCAGATATAAAGACCTGCTGGACAGCTAATATTGATGTACTGCTTACCTTCCATCCGTTACGTTCCAGCCGATTACGGGCGGTACGATTTTCATACCATAAATCCCGGATTTTGCAGATTTTGCCGATTTTCAAAATTAGCACTTTAAGGTTTAGCACGTACTTTTGACTATTGCAGCGCAGCCATCCTTGAATCCATGCATAGAAATCCCATAGGGCTTCCGATTGGACAATTTGTTATCTAGCACACCCCTTTCACAGTGCAGGTGCATACATGTGTGTCTTTGTATATTCTGACTGTGTACGTGTGTGCGTGTGTGCCCAGCAGAGAAAGACAGCTTCGCGAGCGGGGGCCGGGTGAAATACCTCTCTTGGCCGCGCCGCTACTGCGCGGCCAGCGCCAGGCCTCGCTACGCTAGCGCCGTGTACACTGTCGGATTTCTCACAGGCTGTCACAGCGTTCGTCGATTTTCGTCGACAATCTGAACTCATGTTGGTTGGATTTAGATATCAATCATCATGTCTTCCACAACTAAGAAGCGTGGCAAGAAGTTACAGACTTTTAAAGAAGAATACAGTAAGAAATGGAAATGCATCGTTCTTTCAAAGAAAAGCCTGAATCATGCTAGGTGCATGATATGTGCATCAGATTTCAACATTGGACATGGCGGGGCAAACGACGTGCAGTGGCATATCAAGACTCAAAAACACCAATCAGTCGTTGGAGCCAGTGGTAGCAACACAACAATGGAGAAATTTCTTGTTTCTGGAGATTCATCTGTGATCAGAGCAGAAGCCCTCATGACAAATTTCTTAATAGAACACAATATAGCTTTCTCTGCAGCTGACCACCTCAGTGACATTTTCAAAACAATGTTTCCCGACAGTAACATTGCAAGGAAATTTTCATGTAAGAGAACTAAGACCACATCTATTGGTCGGACATTGGGCCAAGTAGCTAAAGGTGAGTCAAAGTTTCATTATTTTTACTTCGCTACCCATGATTTCCGTAGACCAAACTTTTTACTTCAAACCTGCCGCATTGATCGGTCTAGGACTAGATCTATATTAACTGAGCCTGCGGCATTCGGGCTGTGTAACAATCTATGTTCGGAGCCTATACTATAGTCTCATCAAGTCAATGCCGATTTCCTAAATTCTTGACTATGTGCAAAACTGAAAACTGAAAAGATATTTGGGCATTTCCATGATAAGTGGGTACATTATCTTTAAAGTCTTGCAGATACATACATGTACATGTAGATGTATCAAACAAGTTCTTCAATTTTCGATGATCATAAAATGTGGCAGTGGCACACACAAGGGGGCAGGGATATTAATCAAAAATATTTCTAGTTTTTATTTTTTTTTCTTCCAATTTTCTCTCTCTTTTTCTCTCTTTTGCTAGTTTATGCACAATTGTTTAGAAATAAAACAAAATATTTAGTCACAAAAATCGAACTCCATTTTCATCTACAATTCTGGTGGGGAGTTGCTTGTTTTGTTTGTTTGTTTTTTAAAACTTTTTTGGGGTGGGGGGGGGGGGGGGGTGATGATTTCCCAGACAAAGCCAACATAATATACATATTTTCTTGTATTTTTTTTTTCAACAGAGGATGTTGTGAAGAAGCTTAGAACAAGGCCTTTCTCAATTTCCACCGACGGTAGTAGCGACAGAGGAGCACAGGAACAATTATACCCCATCATTGTCCGTTATTACGACGATGAGCATGTTGTCAGCTCTCTTCTTGAGATATCATCAACTAAGGAACGTTCGACTGGAAAAAAACATTTTTCTGTTATTGGACAAAGCACTGAAAGAGTACTCCATCCCTTGGAGTAATGTTATTGGCTACTCGGCTGATAATGCTTCCGTAATGATGGGTCAGGTCTCAGGTGTAGCAGCGTTCATTCAGAAATCTAATCCAGATACCTTCATCAACGGGTGCCTCTGCCACCGCTTGCATCTTGCAGGAGAGAAGGGTGCCAAGGACCTTGCCTTCTGTCCAGGAGATCTGTTGATCAAGATCTACTACTACTTGGAAAAGTCAAGTAAGCGGAACAAGGAATTCAGAGAAACTCAACGAAGCTTGCATGTGGCTGATCATGTCATCTTGAAGTACATCTGCACAAGGTGAATATGATGTATTTTGGTAATTTTAAAGGTAATCTGGAGTACTGTTCAATGTTATGAATATGTGTAGAATCACAAATTAGGCATGTTCAATACTATTTGACTTTGCCCTACGTCAAAAAAGTACATTGTCCCATATATTGCCTTTCTGTGTTAGCTCTAGATTTTGTCATAATGTTCTACTGTTTCCAGAGTCTAATTTTGGTTATAGCACAGTGCTGTAAAGTTTGTCTTATTCATTAGCTTAAACATATATATGCTTTAAATTTTCATTTAAAATAAGATACAGTGCCATGTAGTTTATGTGAGAAGTTGAATAACTTCAACATAAATACATGTATTATAGAATGTACAATTGTACTTATCAGTTTCCTAAATGTACATGTACATTTAAAATTCATTGTGTATTGAATAACACATTTATTTATGTTAAATGATCAATATAATTATTGTATCATGGCTTAACAGTTTCATCCCTCTTTTTTTTGGTCTCATTTGTATGTAGATGGTTGAGTTTGGAGGCATCACTTGGGAGATTACTTGAACAGTGGGAACCATTGTTGGTGTACTTCAGAGAAGAAGCACAGACAAGGTGTCCTAGCGCTGCACCAGCCAAGAAGTCAGTAACCAGCACTACCAAGCAGCCATCAAGTAGTGTCAAGTCAACCACCAGTACTACCAAGCAAGCATCAAGTAGTGTCAAGTCAACAACCAGTACTACCAAGCAGCCATCAAGTAGTGTCAAGTCAACAACCAGCACTACCAAGCAACCATCAAGTAGTGTCAAGTCAACCTCTAGTACTACCAAGCAGCCATCAAGTAGTGTCAAGCCAACCTCCAGTACTACAAAACAAGCATCAACTAGTGTCAAGGGTGCTCTTGTTAATACACTTATATTCGCAGGTGAGAAACTTCGTCCACATGTCAAAGCTGGTGAAAATTCTCCAAGCTAAAGAGGAAGACAGATCATGATCCTGCACCTGTGCCTACAAAGAAATCTGTCAGTAGCACTTCTTCCATTGCTGCCATGTCTGCCAGAACGTTTTCTTTCCTTCATCAGCAAAGAGCATTCAATCTCGTAAGGAACAAACAGGCAAATCTACTGAACACACCTCAACGTCCAAGGTATCTAAGAACAGTGGAGCAACTAAAATAAGGCTGGGGAGATCTATGATCAACTGAAAAATGATAGGAACAAACTTTACTGTCTCTTTCTGCAGCACACCATTCCCCTTCTTAATACTCTTAACCTACAGCTTCAAAGAGATGAGCCCCAAATCCACTTGCTGCATGACCTTCAGCAGGAACTGCTACGCAATATCTTGATAAGGTTTGTGAAGCCAAGTGTGGTTTCTGCTGCCGCTCAACCTGACAAGTGCAGATACCATCAAACTCAAAACCAGCGAGAAGATGACGAAATGATCATTGGCAGTCAGGTTAGGCTACTACTTCGTGAGATGCCTCCTACCACACGTGATGAGTTTTTCACAACGGTGCGCCGATACTTCATTTCAGTCCGCAATTATATCACAAAGACTTTCCCTCTAAATGATGAAGTGCTGATCAATGCACAAGTGGCAGACATTAGCAAGAGGCAGGAGTCAAAGTTTGCCAGTGTGGCATTCTTTGTGTACAAGTTCCATTACATGGAGGAGTCTATCGATGACCTGCATGGAGATCGAATTTGGTAATTTCCAGGTGGATCCCCTGGAGTCTGTGTCTTTACAGCAGAGATCAGATGAAGCATGGGTTGCAATCTCACAGCTGACTGACAATTCATCAGGAGAGAACCGTCTGAAGTATGGCAACCTTGCCAAAGTGATGTTGGTTATCCTGTCACTGCCCCATTCGAATGCAGAGGACGAGAGACTCTTTAGCTTAGTCCGGAAGAATGCAACTGAATTCAGACCAAACATCTCAACTGCCGTCCTCTCCGATGTCCTCACTCAGAAGGTATACTCGCAGTCCAAGAACTTTGTCTGTCACAAGATGGTCTTTGATGAAAAGACTTTGGAGAAATGCAAGAAGGCTGCAACAGACTACAACAAAAAATAAAGACATTTTTTGAGGGAATCCATTCAATTTTTCAATATAATTAATCATTGGTAGTTATGTTGGCTAATATGAACATGTGCAAGAAGGCTGCAAAAGACTACACGTGTAGCAACATAAAGACATTTTGTGATTGTGAGGGAGTTCATCCAACCTTTCAACAGAACACTTTCAATGTGGAGTTGACAGCAACTAATGAGCTTACAGGTGCAAGAAGGCTGCAAAAGACTATAGCATCATATCAGAACATGTGATTGTGAGGGAGTTCATCTAACCTTTCAACAGAACACTTTCAATATGGAGTTGACACCAACTTATGAACTTACATGTGCAAGGACGCTGCAAAAGGCTATAGTAACATATCAAGACATTTTGTCATGAGTTCATCCAGTCTTTCAGTAGAATACTTTCAATGTGGAGTTACATGCACATGTAACACCAACTAATGAACAGGTATGTTACTTTTATTTAACTTGTTGTGCTATCGCGCTTACCTGCGGGAGCTGCGCTTGCCAGTGTGCAGAAAAATTTGCGTCGTGCAGAAAATTACTGATTTTTAGCCTTATGACTACTGATTTGTGCTCTGAAAGGTTGGCATCCCTGAGCTTCTAGACTTCTAGCAGATATAAAGACCTGCTGGACAGCTAATATTGATGTACTGCTTACCTTCCATCCGTTAGCTTCTAGACTTCTAGCAGATATAAAGACCTGCTGGACAGCTAATATTAATGTACTGCTTACCTTCCATCCGTTAGCTTCTAGACTTCTAGCAGATATAAAGACCTGCTGGACAGCTAATATTAATGTACTGCTTACCTTCCATCCGTTAGCTTCTAGACTTCTAGCAGATGTAAAGACCTGCTGGACAGCTCTTGAGATCATTCCAATGTTCTCTTCATTCACTTCTTCAGGACCTTCCATTGTGTAGGTTTTCCCACTTCCCGTCTGCCCATAGGCGAAGATACATACATTGTATCCATCAAGGGTGCTCTGATTGATATCAAAGATAAAACAATCATATTAACAATTCATTTCATCTAATTTGGCAATACACAGGAAACTAAGGGTTTGAAGTCCACTCCAAAAATAACTTACTTTCAATAGAAGCAGAAAAATCAGACAAACCAATCAATAAAAGTTTGAGCAAAATCGGAAAACTAAAAAGAAAGTTATGAATTTTTGAATAAAAGCAGAAAAATCAGAGAAATAGAATGCAAAAGTTTGAAATAATTTGGACCAATAATAAGGAAGCTATGAATGCTTCAACTATGCGAATCTCAAAATTAGGAATTTTGTCAGTGGATTGAATGAACTCGTACTATCCCTGCAATGTTGTGTGTAATTCATACCTGTCAAATTAATCCACACCAGAGCCCCCGTTTTATAAACACTTTTTATCAATAACAAGTTACAATAATTGCACAAGCTATACAATTTTTTAAATTTGATTTTTGCTGAGAGACAATTTGTTATAGACAAATGTGCACTTGTTATAGATAAAAGGCTAAAGCCTGGGTAATAATTTCCATAGCTCTTTGGAAGTGCATGGAGACGCTATAATGTGATATGAACTATACAAGAAGGGAATATTATTCTGATTATTGAGTTTACCTGCACCAGCTGAGAGATTTCCTGAAAGACCTCTGCTTGATTGGAGTCTGGTTCAAATACTTGGTCAAAGTTAAACTCATAATGGGACGTTCCATTGCGCCCGTTCCTTGTACTCATAGTACTCTGTGCACAAGTCAAAACAGAGAACAAACAATAACAAATAATGTTAATAGATCTACAAAGTACTTGAACATGGTGGAACATAATTAGGTGATATGTATGAAATATACGTATCGCCTTTTGATTTCGTCAAGATTTTTCTTTATTATTCATCATTATTATTTATCTTTATTATTATTCTTCCTCAAATTTTTTCGCAAGATATCTCAAGAATGAATAAAGCTATAATCATGAAACTTGTAATGATGATAGATATTAGTCTAACTTAGAACTGCGTGTTTTTTCAGAGACTCAAGATCACCATGACGTCATCTAGGCGCCATTTTGTGAAAATCAACTCATGATCATATCTTCATAACAGAAAGTCTTTCCTCATTCATATTTATTATGATCAAGGTCAATATCCGTCCAATCAATATCAGTTTTAAAAAAACGCGCATGCGCGTATATCCGCGCGCAAAATTTTTAATTGCTCCAAATCATCTCAAATTCATTTTGCATACGTTTCATGCCATTATAAGCATTTTATAAAAAATTGCGCAAACGCGCATTTTCGTCCTTCACAGCCAAACACAAAATAATTACCAGTCATTTTTTTTTGACAGGATATTCCTCATATTTGTCCGAACGATTTGACCATGTTTATCTCTTTATCACTATTAATAACGGAATGAGTGTCTGTTCAAGGCGTATGCGCGAGTTTTGTAATACATAGCACATATTGGCAAAAACATGCCTATACAAAATCCATTAGGCCTATAGCTCTTTTGTTGGAAAGGAACCCTCATTTTGTTTTTATATTTAGATAGAGTATAAGTCGGAGATATGATTTCATGTCTCATTTGGCCATTAAAGGTAATACAAAGTTTTGGGAAATTTTGAACATTGGGTGGATAGTGAATCTTTACAATTTTGATATATTTGGATACCCCTGTGGATGTATTATAAGCACTAAAAAAATTAGCCCCTTAAACACTTCCGTTTTCGAGAAAAATTGAATATAAAAGTTTACCGGTGCTCCCGGTAAATTTTGATAAATTTCAAATAGCGCCTATGGCCGTACAATGGTAGCTGCGACCATGAAAATCTCAGAATATGTAGTTGTGATATTTAATTTCCAAACGGGAATAGCTAATCGGTCGATTTTAGTCAATAAACATTGTTTCAAAGCTAAATTAATATCTTGACCTTGAGAGGGACCTATACAACATAAAGAGTTTATTATTCATAATTTCACAACTTTAGACTCGATTTCAACCGCGACAACGATCAATGAATATTGTAGGAACGCATATGCTTCCAATATGTTAATTTGAACCAAATTCATGACCCCATACCAAAACTTTGTAATACCTTTAAATATATTTTGACATAATCATATTGACCTTGGAACTCAAAATACGAATTTGTATATTATGACGTCGGCATATTTACGGAAAATGAATGTATCTCTGCAAATATTTATCAATTTTCTTCTAAATTTGATATGTTGTAGCTGAGACAAGTTTCCACAAGATTTATGTAGACTATCTAACATTATCATGACGTTATCATAGTCAATAATTCAATCATAGGTGACATGTCAATTATCATATATATCAATCCTCAATCGAATACCTGAAGGGGGCGCTATACCACTTTTACTCATGGTCATCTGAAAGGCATTGTTCTCAATTGCATCTCTCTCTCTCCTCTCTCTTGCTCTTTTACTTCTCCTCTCATGTTCTGCCCCTCTCCTTTTTTGGTCTGTCTCTGCATCTATCTATCTTTCTTCTCTTTCACCCTTTCCCTCTCTCTCTCTCTCTTGCCTTGCCTCCCTCTTATTCTCTTGGTCTGTCTCCCTCTGCCCTACAGTTGAAACTTGACTCATGGATAGATCATAATGGGAGTAGTAACGAAAGATGAAATCGTGAAAATGCGTTCTTCATTATGTTACACATGAGCATACGTACCACCTAATTCGTCAAAGTGACGAATTAAAGTATAGTACTTATTTTGTGTCTGTATAGAAGAAATTATTATTATTCTTCCTCGAATTTGTTCGCAGGATATCTCAAGAATGGCTGAAGCCATTGCCACGAAACTTTTCCTGAAGATCGATCTTAGTCCAACTTAGAACTGCGTGACTTTTCAGTGATGCCAGGGCATCGTGACGTCAATATGACGTCATTATGTAAAATGTCATTAATGGTCGTATCTCAGCGCAGCAATATCGATTTCAATTCAAATTTGGTATCAATCATGCTCAGGTCATGGGTCAGAAATTTATCTCACGCAAATGCGTCTGCCCCTTAAAACGTGCGCGTACACGTGCGTCAAAAATAAATTGCTCAAAACTCCAAACCAAAAATTTCTGCGCGTGCGGTTTAGCGCGCTCGTAATTACGTTTGTAACACACGCAGATCGCATTTCTTCCTTTTTTTTTCTCGTTTTGAAGTAATGATAGTCTCATTTACAATCCCTGTAAATTTCAGTCATTTTTTACTCAAATTGATGTCATATGCGCGCGTCAAAGATAACATCACGCGCATGCGCACATTTCCCAGAAGAAAAAAAATATGACTATGTTTAATTGACCATAACTTCTTTAAATGATCGGATACCCAAATTGTTTTATGATATGTGGATAGAGTATGAGTTGTAGATATTATTTCCTACATCTTTTTGGCTAATCGGATTTTCCGACATCATCATATTGCCCGTTAAAATTAATATATTTAATTTCATTCGATTTTAATTGATTTCGAAATCAACGACAGTGCACTTCCAACCATATATCGTTTATCTTTATTCAAATCTCTCCCAAATTTGAATATGTAGTAGCTGAGGTTATGATGCTGAGGTTCTTGATCATGAAGGAATTTGTAGTCAAAGACAATGGGTCAAAATCAAACTTCCCTTTTTGTTCCTTCTTTTTTTACCATCCTGGCCTCGATGATTGCTAAGCTCCTTTCCCTTCCGAATAATATCTTCAGCTATCTACAGTTCCATGCATTACTTGAACAAAAAAAATCAACATTCCCTGCCTCTAATTCTTTCTCTTTCCTACATTATTTCCTGTTAATTCAACTCTTGTCTAATCCACATTCCTTATACAGTGACAGTTTATATCCATTCGATATTTAAAGATTTTATTATCAAGCAACTAATGAATCTTACGCCGACAACTAAAAATGATCGCTTATGTATTCCCACATTTATTTTGACTTTTCATTTACGCCGGGACATCGTGACGTCATACACTATTCACTTTTTATTATTCAGGCATTTTTTATAAGCTCTTATTTATCAATTTCATTTTCATTTTTTTGAAAATGCGTTCTTCATGATGTAAATTAGAGTCAAAGGTGTAAGTGGTTACTGCACAGGGTCAATGGTCATATATCGTCACAATCTATCTTCCCTAGATCCATGATGATCAAGGAGACAATTTAATCTTGACATATGGATAGATCATAATGGGAGAAGCATGTTATAAAATAACATATCGTGAAATGCATTATTCGTTATGTAAACCATTATCATACGTATCACCTAATTCGTCTAAGTGACAAATTAAAGTCTAGTTTTATATTAGATAGCTTAGACAGACACCAAGATGTGATTGGTCCAGAGCTCGTCACGTGATATCAATTGCGAGGATCCAAATTGTTATATTTTCCTGGCCGGTTATATTTTACCCGCTGGTGAAATGAATATATTTTTAATCAATGCATGTCGCCCTCTTGATGACTGTATTTCACCAATTCCACATATTACACCATTACCGAGGGTAATTTTCTTTTTTCATTATTTTTTTTTCATTGAATTATCTTGAAATATTATTTTTCAGTCACTTTTCTTGTTTGCACTTCTTTTTCTAAAATTTTGATTGTCCCCGAAAAAAGAAGAAAAAAGAAGAAAAAAAATTCAGGCAAAAAATAAATAAAACCAAGGCTATCTAATATAACAGTTATTTACTGGCAGGGGGTGTAATATAACATTCTTTGGACCTGAAGGGAGTTATATTTTCCCTCGTGACCATATTTTCCCTCAGCGCTGCGCGCTTTGAGAAAATATAACCACTTGGGAAATATAACTCCCTTCAGCAGTCCAAATAATGTTTTTATATACCTTACTTAATCCAGCCATCTGATTGGTCTAAATTGCAGTCATGGTTTTAGCCATTCCCGTAAATAAACGAAAAATGCCAAACCCATGTAATAGTTCTAAAGTAAATCGGTAAAATCCCGGCAAAATTCCAGTTACCATGGTTACCGGGAAAATAGTTAAGTCTTGCTGAAATACCCATTGGTTTACGTGTTAAAAACTGGTTTGAGCGAGAGCGGATACCATACATTGTGTGTGTGCGAATCGAAGTCCCCTCTCATTCATAGTGTACACACACATTTATGGACATGGATCGAAGTCCCTGCTCGGCCCCGCACGCAGACGCAATAAAGCTAGCTGTGTAGAGGAATGATGAGAGGGGACTCGGATCACGATAATGCCCTTACAGTTTCCAAACAAGGCAAAAATGGCTGAAGAAACTCTCACTTCTTGATGATGATCAATTGCAAGACATGATTAATTCTGCTGACAGCAAGAACACCAAAAGGGTACGTGAAATTCTCCATAAAAATATTGAGATAATTTAGTTGTAGATCTAGGCTATCTAGTGCAATCTCAATGGGAAGGATTTTAGCACACAAACTTGAGTGGTGCATCAAGTTTGTTTACGCTATCGAGACCTAGTCTAAGGTGTCTAGTTCTAGATCTAGGCTACCTGCAAGTTATCAACAGAGACCTCGATAGCGTAAACAAACTTCCAAATTCGGAGCTGGACAACGTAGATCTAGACTGCATATTTATGCGTGCAATCTCAATGGGAAGGATTTTAGCACCCAAACTCGAGTGGTGCGCGATCAGACACCCTAGACTAAGGTCTCAATAGCGTAAACAAACTTGATTACCCTGATTGGTAAGTTGCACATGTATGACCCTTTTCGGTATATAAAAGTATTAATGACTGCTTTAATTTTCGAGACGCTCTCGGGAAGGTTACAATCGAGCTATTGCCCTCGGCTTTCAAAGCAGTCATTAATACTATAATATTACACCCCCTGCCAGTCAATAACTGCATAACATCGTATGGAAATCTCTGCTGCTCATACTATTTTCCTTCTGGGGGAAGGAATTGGAAAAGCTTTACAGGAGGTTGCTAAGGTTCAGATGATTTGCCTGGGGTGAGCCCTGCCAATTAAGAGCCAGTCGCATTGGGTATGACTAATGATTAGACAGACCAAAACAAGACAAAATGAAAACAATGATTTAAAGGGGAAGTCCACCCTGATATTAAGTTGGTTAAATAGAAGCAGAAAATGAGAAGAACAGGTCATTGAAAGTTTGAGTAAATGCTAATTAATATTAAGAAAGTTATGAATTTTTGAAGTTGCGATCTATCAAACACAAAATTGCCAACTCTGAGACATATCTTGCAAGCTCCCTTCCTCCCATTTGCTTCGTACTAAAAATAAATCTGAAATTTCCAATCATAGATGCAACCTACACATAATTATTGCACATCTGTTTCTATGCAACTTCTGTAGCCCACTTGCCCCATGGTATAGAGGATACTCAGTAGCCTGCTTGCCCCGTGGTATAGGGATAATCAGTAGCCCACTTGCCCTATGGTACAGGGGATACTCAGTAGCCCGCTTGCCCTATGGTATAGGGGTACTCAGTAGCCCACTTGCCCAATGGTATAGGGATACTCAGTAGCCCACTTGCCCTATGGTATAGGGATACTCAGTAGCCCACTTGCCCTATGGTATAGGGATACTCAGTAGCCAGCTTGCTCCATGGTATAGGGTATACTCAGTAACCCACTTGCCCCATGGTATGGGGATACTCAGTAGCCCACTTGCCCTATGGTATAGGGATACTCAGTAGCCCACTTGCCCAATGGTATAGGGATACTCAGTAGCCCACTTGCCCGATGGTATAGGGATACTCAGTAGCCCACTTGCAACATGGTATAGGGATACTCAGTAGCCCACTTGCCCCATGGTATACGGATACTCAGTAGCCCACTTGCCCCATGGTATAGGGATACTCAGTAGCCCACTCGCCCCATGGTATGGGGATACTCAGTAGCCCACTTGCCCTATGGTATAGGGATACTCAGTAGCCCACTTGCCCCATGGTATAGGGATACTCAGTAGCCCACTTGCCCTATGGTATAGGGATACTCAGTAGCCCACTTGCCCCATGGTATGGGGATACTCAGTAGCCCACCTGCCCCATGGTATGGGGATACTCAGTAGCCCACTTGCCCCATGGTATGGGGATACTCAGTAGCCCACTTGCCCCATGGTATAGGGATACTCAGTAGCCCACTTTTCCTATGGTACAGGGGATACTCAGTAGCCCGCTTGCCCCATGGTATAGGGGTACTCAGTAGCCCACTTGCCCCATGCTTTAGGGGATAATCAGTAGCCCTAAACAGTCAAGAACCCATACAATTGACTTTTTTCAACTTAGGTGACATTGATTAAGAAATGAATCACTTCATAAGCTAGCAAGCACTAGAAGCAGACCAGGGCGGTGTCATTTGTAGCCTTAAAATAAAACATAAGAAAAAGCTAAAATTTCGGTATTTTAGACTTTTCATCAATCAAGAACACAAAATTACCTTGATAATAGAAAATATGTATGATTTGAATCAATATTTTATGCCTTTTACAAAATATTTTCATAGATGCTAATGGCTTTCCATAATTGTTTAGTCCAACTTAAAGATAAGTTCAACTAAGGATAATTGTGAACCCCCCCCCCCAGGTACATGGAGCCTATAAATTGTTTGACATTGCGAGAGAGGGAAGTGTTTACATACCTCGTTAAGGCTGACGTCACTGAGTTTGTCCAGTACAAGTGTTTTACCATCGACATCAGGAAAGCTGATATGAGGGATGTCATCTCCACCAATCTGTTCAGATCCAAGAAGAGGTCGAACCCTGCAGAAAACACGAATGTTACCCTACATAGGAATAGGAGAAAAGTTAACAGCATTATTCATTAGGCCTGGGACCAAGCCTTTTATTAACCGGGCGCCAGGCGATTTTTACCCAACGGTCCCTGAATTTTGGCGCCTGGTAAGACGGGGAAAATGAGTACCGGGCGCCGGTCATTTTTTATTTTTGGCGCCCGGTCTGGGAGAATTAAAATTTCCTGTTTCAGAAAATTCCACATGTCTAGCACTAAATGCTCACCAAAGTGATAAAAAAATTACTTGATACAAGTTAAATGTGGACTAAATGAACCCTAACAAATCATTTTATGATGAGAACCCTAATTGAAATTGCCCCGAAATAATTGCAGCACGACTACGAGCGGCCGCTAACATATCTCCTACTCCTAGCGCCACCGCTAGGGTTAGGGCGGCTAGCTAGCTGGCGTGCAGAGCGAAGATCGAGAGTGTGCGAGCAACACTGTCACTCCGTCTAAAAGTTTGACTTCGTTGGGAAAATCTTACTTTGAAAAACGATTCTCAAAATCCAGTATACATGGCCTGAATAATCACAATCCAAACTTTGATTTCACAACTCTTTTCCTGGAAACTATATAAGAATCGTGGCAATCATGATGGAAATAGATCACAATTTCAGAATTTCGCGCAAAATGTCCGACCTCCGATCAATAAAAATGATCGGGAAAAAATCGGTAGAAAACAAATATTTGAATATTTCTTAAAAATAAATATGCCGACAATTTTTAAGTTTTGGGCTATCAAATACTTTAAAAAAAAATGCATAGCTGGGATAAGTTTGTCATTCAGAGTTATTGTAGACCGTGTTTGTAGATATTTAGTGTTTTTAATGACTTTGAAATTAATGACATTCGTCTAAGAGAAGAGGTAAAAAATGCGAGCCGCCACTTTGGATTATAATGTAAGCACGCATTCTGTTTTTATCATGTTTTGCCTTTTCTCTTAGACTAATATTATTAATTTCAAAGTCATAAAAAGGCACTTCATATCAACAAACATGGTCTACAACAACTCCAAATGACAAAATAATTCCAGCTTTGCATGTTTATTTAGTATTTGATAGGCTAAAACTTTTTTTTAAATATTCTTTCTTTAAATATTTTTTTAAAATTCCCCCCCCTTCCGATTCGATTAAAGCCCTAACTTACAGGGTTATTTTATAGTGTACTGATATAGACTAATGACAATGAATAATGACTAAGTAAAAGGTAACGGTTAACAACTTGATTTAACCCTTACTGTACTGGGCTATTTTGAGCACCTCCTGACTGGGGGGGGGGGGGGGGGGCCTGGGAGGCCCCCCCCCCCCCTATGATCTCGGCCATCGGATGTCCGATGAACACGAAAATTTGCATGTTTGTGGATGGTTACGTAACGAACAAGATGGTGTAATTAGTTTTTTGCGAATATGCAAATTTTTGTCGTTATAGCCTAATTAATTATGCAAAATGCTAATTCTATGAATTTTACAGAAAACGTGTCAAACTTCACTTTTTGAACGTTGAAACTCATTATTCATATGAAACTTCTTTTCTAACACAAAATATTTATTTGGATGTAATTAATAATGATAATTTATGCAAATTTGATGCGATTTTCAAATATTTATTTTCTTATGTATTTTATTGTTTTTTTTATTTCTTATTATATCTATTGTTTTTATTTCTTATGTATTCTTTTGTTCTGGAATACATCAAGTTACTTTGATAAACATATAAAAGCAATTCGATATCAATTCATATCACCCACTGAGGAAGGAATACATCTAAACCTGTATTCACATTTCTACTTGTACATGAATATATGCAATTATAGCATATTTTTGATGACATGCGCATACTAATTGTTATGTAACACCTCACAGGTATATCCGATTGTGACGAAAATGGTATCAAAACGTGCGTAAGACTTGAGGGAAAAAAGTCATGAAACGACAATTCAAAATTTCAAGCGGTTGCGGCGCAATCTCCGAAAATGTCGAGGGGGGGGGGGGGGCCTCCCAGGCCCCCCCCCCCCCCCCCAGCACAGTAAGGGTTAAAAGAATACATATTTTCATCAATTTTGGAAACGGCTCCTGGTCCTAGAAAACGGCTCCCGGTTCTCTAAAAAATTTAAGGACCGGGAGCCGCTTTTTCAGATATTTGGCTCCCGGTCTGCTTTGTCTTAATACAAGGCTTGCCTGGGACTAATATTCAAATATCCAAACTATTTGAAGAAACATCAAATATTACTTGTTCCATTATTTGAAGATTCACTCAATGCATGCGAAATGTGGCTTGCCAGTTTGTATTCAAATTTTGAAGTAACGAATATCATGGTTTATTTGATACTCAATTTTATTGACTCTTAGTCTTAGGTAAAATGTATTTGAATAATAATCTTTTTTTGTAATTGTCTCAGTGGTATTATCTTTTTTCCTATCTTATTTCACCTGGTATTACGTGGCTTGTTTACTTGTGTGTACCATGCGAAATATGCAGAGCTGCCAACCTTGTGCGACCAAAAAAAGGAATCATGATGGCAAAAAAAAAAGGAATTCATAAAAACGAAACTTAAAACGACGCGCGGCACACTTCCAATGCAGAAATGTTCATTCATCATTTTTTGGGGTGGTTATTTTGGTATTATTGGCATTTCATTCCTTTTTAAGTATGTTTTAATTTTAGTTTTCTTTTGAATTTGTGATCAAATCACCATTTTAGGGCAGTTGTTTGACGTGCGGTGTGTAAAAAAAATATTTAAGAAAAAAATAATAATAATAATAATAAATAAAAAAACGGATTTATGAAGAAAAAACGTAATACCGTAATTTAGAGTAAAAACAGAATGGTTGGCAGCTCTGAATATGGCATGTTGGTCCAGATCAAAAACTTGAAGCAATGCAGAACAAACGTATAAATCTTCAATACATCTCAATTTACCTTTAATTCCTGGATGGTATTGTGGAGTTTTCTCCTCATCGTTTCATCTTCTCTGATCCTCCCTTCTTTCTCCTCCACAGTAGCCTTGAGCGCCGCCACCTCTGCTTCCAGATCGGAGATCCTGCTACCTTTCTGTCTGCAAGACTCCACAGACTGCTCTAGCTGGTGCTAAATGTACAAGAGCAAGCAAACACAAAGACTACTTGTCAAAATGTACACAATAGAGTGAGATCAATGTAACACTGTAAATTGTCTCAAATAACTACCAAGGAAGACTGAACTAAAGCTTTGCTGTGGGGTAAAAGTACAGCTTTTTGCATCAATGACCCTTGCACTTGCTGATCTGTATGTCTAGGCTTGAAGAGTCATTGATTTTCTAAATGGCTCTGGTTTGTTGACATGATTATACTACAATGTATATGTGTCCCCAAGACAGTGAAAAATGAAATTATGTTTCCAAAATTCAAACATGTAATTTTAGTATCAGGACCATTTATATTTTTCATAAATGCCAATTTTTGGACCTTAATCCTATATTCATATTTAGTAATCAGATAGGAATACTATAAGTTTTTACAATTTTACTGTAAACTACCGTATTTGCCGGCGTAAAGGCCGCAGTATTTTCGGAAGAGAAAATTTCAAAAAGTCTGGGTGCGGCCTTTGCGCAACAGCTAAAAATTCAGCGGTCAAAACAGCACATCCATTCCTACATATGGGACTCAAATGACTATACAATGGTACAGGACATTTCTAGAATAACTCCACACATCTTACCGACAGTTCTATGTTGCATTGTTGACATGAAGACGAAAATAAACTTCATTTCTTATTTTTCTGACAAAATCTACCAGTAGATCTAGATTTAAGTACGTGCCATTGCATCGTTAAACAGTAAAAGAAGGGACCGTAGCGGAGCTAGCTACCGCGCAACGCAACTGCGCATCCTGGTATATGTAGGATACCAAACCTGCCTGTGATGCAGTACTAATTTAAAAATCGATGAAGATTTGCTAGATTTCAATCATTTTTTAGGTAAACTTCCTGTAAATTTATAAGAATATTGATGAATTTGGGTATCAGTTTGTAGAAAAAATAGTGTTCTACGAGAAAATTAAGATTATTTTGTTTGGTGCTTTTGTTTTTTTCCTTTGGTTTTTTGTTGTTGTCCTCTACGAAATGTCAAAGTTTGGGGTGCAGCCTACAGTGTATGCAGCGCTACGGCAAATACGGTATAGCAAATCCAATAACTGTGATATCAAACTCATTTGCTACAACTAGTCTTTCAGAATGTGTTTCAGAAATATTATTCATGCACATTTTTGAGTTTCTTTTTTGAAGGCAATCACCGGATAGCATCTCACCTACGTGTGACCAAATTTAGTCAAAATACAATTAACAATTTCACAGTAATTAGAAATAAAGACATTTTTGAAGTTGCAATCATTCAAACACAAATTGGCAACTCTATGACCTACATGAATCTTACAAGGTTCCCTCCCCTTTGCTCTGTACTAAAAACAGAATCAGAAATTTCTATTTAGTATTTACCCTAAAGAAAATGTTCAATCATACATGTATCCTAAATAAAATTATTGCAAATATGTTCCTATACAACCCCTGTATAAAACAAAACTTTTCAGTTATCACTAAGAGAATGAAAGTTTATGAAATTTCTGTACAGAGCAAACTGGAGAGGAACTTGCTCGATACGTCAAAGTGTTGCCAATTTGTGTTTCACCGATGACAACTTTAAATATTCATGACTTTCCTGCTTTTAATCTGATATTGCTTGAATATTTCACCAATTTGTTTCTTTTATTTATACCAACTGATTATTAGGGTGGACTTCCTCTTTAATTGTAGGAGGTACATGTAGATAATAGACCAATCTTTACCTTAGTGGCATCCAACTGCGCTATATGACCAGCTTGTGCTGCTGTCATGGAAGCTATAGAGCTTTTTAGACCCGAACACTCCTGACGTGATGCTGTAAGATCGCCCTCTACAGTCTCAATTTGTCGTTTCAGACTTCTCATCGTCATCTCCAAGTCGTCTTTCTGTTGATTAAGACGTCGCTCCACTATGGAATGCTCGTCCTCCGCATTCCTACAATCAGAAAACAAAGTTTGAAGAAGAAAATGATGGGGTAATCCCGGGTTTCGTTATCATTGACATTCTAGGCCACAAGACAGTCCACATCGTCATCATTCATACATTACAGAGATGAAACCATATTTTGAAAATAGTTGATACAAGGCAGTAAGCTTAACTCAGATCATATACAGCTGAAAATAAAATTCACTAGGTTCTACTCTTAAACTATGATCTGCGTTGGGGGTACAATAATCCTGAGGAATGATATCATATCCAGAATAAATTTGTATCAAACTTTCATCTCTGCATTGGCCACTATGCGGGCATGGTAATGCAAGAAAGTAAAATACAAACAATTTGGAATCACTCACATGCTCTACAACCAATTAATCAAATACTTGTACACACAAACATACCCACTGACTACATGCCATATCCTGCCTTAATGCAGGCCTGCAGCTGTGTCAGATCTATGTTTAGATTTTTTTAGATCTTGATGCATAGCTATTGACACTATGAAGTCAGAAGGTTCTCTATGAGATACACCATTGATATCTGGGGCCCGTTCACAGAAACCAACATTACTAGCTACTATCTTGTAAAATCGGCGAGTAAAAAGAGCCAAGCCACAGCCTTAGTCGCAATACCACCGGAATATTTAAAAAAGTAATATTAGGTAAAATGCAATTATTTAAATGAATTAGGAACAAAAAGATTGAAAATGATACCAGGAAATAAGAGATGCAATATACATGTACTTCCAAATTTGTGTAGATTATACAATATAATTGTGAGTATTTCATTACACGACCGGGGCATCAGTTATGTTCTTGAGTTGGGTACCCCCCAGATATTTTCATTTAATAGTACAAAATATTATCCTTAGGAAAATACGATGTAATCAAATTTGTGTCCAATGTTTTAAGCGTCAGCACATTATCAAAATTACAAAACTTCAACATTCCAAATGTTAAAACATATGTTTTAACTATTCAGTTTACACATTTGAAGATAGAATTTACCTCAAAATTAATGTAGGTCTGAAAATTAGAGAATACACTTCTAACTATGGCTTGCTTACCATGGCAGATTACCCAAAGATACAACAATATTAGAGATAACACAGGGTTCAGAATACAGCCCCTGGGCAGCACTGTCAGGCACGATGGAGGCGCAGGCAAAGTCATTAAGAACTGTCTTAATAAAGCCAGCAATGCACTTAGAATGCTCAACAATATATGGAGTTCACAGCAGTATAGCACCAAGACCAAGCTAAAAGTGTACCAGAGCTGTGTCCTTTTTACGCTCCTGTACAGCTCTGAATGTTGGAGAATGACGAAAAACGACCTCAATAAGCTATCGGTCTTCCACACAAAAGAGTCTGAAAAAAGTATCGGCAATTCTACCCCTTTCCAAATCATTAGATATTGCCTCCGTTTCCTCCAATATTCACAGGAAGAAGGGAAAAATCCATATAGATGCCCGGTATGTAATCATAACAATTTGTCGATCCCTTTTCTGATCACCTTTTCCCATTTTCTGCCCCTGGGTTATTTGCACGTCGACACGTAGGCCATCACTCATCAGCCAATCTTGCCATGCGTGAAGCTTGTTCTTGTAATAGAATATTTGCTCTCATGTCATAGATGGCTATTACATGTGTTATGTCTGGGCTATGAATTTTTTTGGGGGAGGGATTCTGGTGCCAAGCGGTGCATTTATGAATCATAAACACTGGGAGAGAGGCTTCAAAGTTTAGACATTTCCTGACTTTTGAAACAACTTCCATCATGCATTCTCTACTTCTGAATCATAACATAGGGAGACAGATCTCATATTTCTGTTTCTCACTCTTTTTCTTCTTTATCTTCTTCCTAGACCGATTTCGAGACGTAGTTGTCATGCAGCGCAGTAGACCACGTGATATTCGCGTGCCTATCACATGATTTTTTCCTCTCTGCGAGCTGCCGCATGCTGTCTATAGTCTACTGCGCTGCATACAAATTACGTCTCATTTAAAAATGATGGCTAGCTGAACTGGATATCGAGTACGTAGCTCATGAAATATCATTATTTCTGTAAGATATTTTGAATATCTATAGTATTATTTGTCAAAGCAAATAATTATTTTACAGTAATTTTGTTGAATTGGAGTCCCTTGAAGTCTTACGTGATGTTTTTAATTGGTTTAATGCTTACTCGGATGTCTGTGTAGGTATGTAAACAAAACATGACTCGTAACTTCAGCTTGCCGTTATACACACATTTTTAGAACGAACGAAAGGCACTTCGATGTTATTTCAAGCGCTTTAAATTATTTTGCTTCATCAAAATATCAAGGGTAAACCATTATGTTGTGGATATAATCGGTTTTTGCATACATAATGAGCCCTGTGACCTTTGACCTCGTGACCCCAAAATCTAATCAGTTCATCGGCTCTGCAAGATACATACATGACCAAAGTTTGGCAGGAATCCATCAATCAGTTCTTCATATAACGCGATCACGAGAACGGGACGTACGTAAATATGTACGGACGGACTGACAACCCGAAAACATAATGCCTCCGGTTACTTCGTAACGGAGGCATAAATACCCAAAACCCGAATATTCAAACCCGGGTTTCGGCGCAACGGTCAGGGACCGGGCGGGGAACCCTTTTGACTCGGGCCTAATTACCTTCAATCAACACTGCTGATTTAGATTTAAATGTGGTAAATACCTGAGTTTCCTTTCTAGCGAGCGAATAGTCTCTTCAGCCTGGTTAGACAGGGTCTCCTTAATCTGGACAGTCCCTTGAAGCTGTTGATTCAAGCTCTCCAAGAAATCGATGCGCTCATTATTCTCACCGATCCTCCCTTCCAGATTCTGCAAAAAGGACAAATGGCACAGCCATGCAACCACATCAAAATCACATGAGTAAAGAGAATGTCCACCAACGATGTCCAAGAAAAATCAGTTATTTCTTTCTTTAATAATACTATTACATGTAAATAACAACATAATATCAACTACTACATGTACTACTAATGATAATATATTAGTAACATCTATATACATGTAGCACTTAAAGCTACTTGCGCCCTCTATACAGCCAAAATGCCTAAGCGGTACCCATTGGCCCCCCCCCCCCATGGTCCCCTTTTTCTTATGTTAATTGAGAGCTGAGTTGATGAGACAACCACCTGTCAGTGATCAAGCAGGGAGGTCTAATCTCTCCTGGTCAAACTAGTGCAGATAGGCTTTAATACTATGTTTCTAAGCTCTGTCCTATTACTACCCCAGCATTAGCCAAGCTACCCTGATAGTGATAAGGCACTCTGGCATTTGAGAAATTTCTTCCTACCAGATACCCATTAAACAAATTCAATTTGTATTTCCGAAACAGAATAATCTACAAGTGGTCCTGGGGCACTGCCTAAAGCAACAGAGGGAGTGAATAAGTAAAAGAAAATGCAGGGCCAAGTCAAAATAATTTTGTTTCCCCTTAAACCTCTATCTGACTGTACAAAATCGTTGACTACCACACAACCGTTGAAGATTGTGACAAATCTTTTTCCTTTTAAGTGTCTTGTAACTTTAGAGACCAATTTCCACAACATTTGACAATCTGTTGCAATAAGCATTTTTTCAGGGATAACAAAAGTGCAGCGGTACTCTTTGTGTGGAGTACGAATGTTCACAATGACTTTGTATTAATTAAGCATGGCTTGTCGCCTCAACTACATGTATACTGTATAGGTGAGCCGATCGGTGAACATGTTATGTTGTCATTGTAACTGCGGCAAATTTCACCCATGTTGACCCTCAACGTTATTCTAACTGGGCTATTTCAGACCAGGTTTTTACCAGGGGTGTCAATTTGACCCCTCCCCTAAGATCTCGGCCGTTTCACAGCCAATCGCCGCGAAAATTTACATGCATGTCAAGTGAAGTGTATAGAATACTATAGTAATTTCAATTGATTTTCGGACTGACATGCAAAGACAAAAGGTCACGTGACTTTGTAACTATACGTCCGAGTTAAAAAAAAATTGTTTTAAAAGATGCGTAAGAGTTGAAAGAAAAAAAGTCATGAAAGGAAAACTTTATATCTGCCATGGTTTAGAGTAGTGGCTAAATTACTACAGGGGGGGGGGGGGGGGGGGGGGGGGAGGGGTCAAATTGACCCCCCCCCCCTCCAGTTAACATGGGGTTAATTTGGAGAATGAGGTTTTAAGTTGTTTTTGTGCAATACTGAATGGAAAATTCTTTTATTCCTTCACATTTGTATTCTACATTCTTTCAGCTTTCCATTGATTAAAAACAAAATCTCATCAATTAGGGTCTTTTACAGACTTGCTAGAAACTTGATATGACCAGGCAATAAACATGAGTTATTACCTGATTTGACATTGTCCTGTTTTCCATAGCAGCCTCCATATCTGCTAGCCGACCCTTTAGATCCCATGGCTGTCTCTTGCTCTTACCACCACCAGCTATACAAACAATAACAAAATAAGGTTTCAAGAAGCTGGTACATTAAGAAACAAATGGAAAACTACCCCTACATGTACATGTAACTATACTCTTAAAGCGACTTCCTCTAGACAATGTTAAATCTTGGGTATAAATGTGTTATCAGTGTCTGTGATATCGTGTAATATTGAAGCCCTAAACAAAATTGCTCTTCAAAATGATCAAGAAGTGCCTCAAAAAGTAAAAAATATTTGAGTGACTGGTTTTTACCAAACTCATTTCCTCCAAGTTATATTTTTGTGATAGTAATACATGTATGTACAGCGCCATGAGCGTCAGAGCCTGGCGGATACCAGCGCTATATAAGTATCCATATTATTAAATAGACTGCAGCATTATAAGAACTGTTAGGAAAACGAAAAATTGAAATTTTGATTTCCAATCATAAATATCTTGATAATCAAACAGGCGATCAGCCTGTAAAAGTCATGGGGTTCCTGACTGACCTATAGGTTTATAATTATTATTGCAGCATGAGCTAAATCCATTATTATGCTTCAGAATATGAGGCAATGTTACTGAGTCACTTAAAGGCAATTTCCTGCAGACTAAACTAATATGGCTTTTCTTATTCACATCACATCTTATCATGATTAGCAAGCCAAAATACAAACTAATACAGGGCTTAAATTAATCCAAGGCCACCAAGGCAGCCAAAATACAAACTAATATAGGGCTTAAATTAATCCAAGGCCATCAAGGCAGCCAAAATACAAACTAATACCGGGCTTAAATTAATCAAAGGCCACCAAAATACAAACTAATACAGGGCTTAAATTAATCCAAGGCACCAAGGCAGCCAAAATACAAACTAATACAGGGCTTAAATTAATCCAAGGCCACCAAGGCAGCCAAAATACAAACTAATACAGGGCTTAAATTAATCCAAGGCCACCAAAATACAAACTAATACAGGGCTTAAATTAATCCAAGGCCACCAAGGCAGCCAAAATACAAACTAATACAGGGCTTAAATTAATCCAAGGCCCTTTAGGATGCTCCTCTCATTGGCTTTGGAGATTTTTGGTGCCCTTTCCAATTCTTCCTATTTGTGCTGTAATATAGGAGTGTGCCCTACAGAAAAGTGGCCTTGCCCTAAAAATATTGAAATTTAAGGCCTGCTTATAGTTATGTCACATAGCAATTATGATGCCACAAAATTATGCACATCAAACTTATCAAATTCCATTATTTCATTTGACTTCACTCACAAGTCCATAATGTTGATGCATAAATGTCAATATCACAATTACCAAAGACCAACCGCTCACAATGGTGGTCTTGTGCATTCTTAATTATACCTCTCTAATTTATTGAAAAATATTTTCTTTATATTTCTTATCTTAGACCTTAAAAAAACAAAGATGTTATATTACCCTTTGCGACCGACCCAAAAATCTTGAAATCTATGGTCGGCATTTAAAAAAAGTTTTTTTAGGGAAGAAAAAAAATTAACGCATTCAAAACTGGAATATATCAGCCCAAAGAGGGAGAAAAAAAAAAGGCAATACAACATTTTTTTTTAAAGGCCTTATTTGTATGCTTGTATAATATGTAACTCAAAATACAAAAATTTGAACAATAACAAATACAATGAATGAAATTGTAATATTGTAATTGTAATATTGTAATAATATTTGTACATGATTTTCTAGTTAATTACTTTTGTAAAAATGTCATTCATTGTATTTGTTATTGTTCGAATTATTGGAATTTGAGTTTGAATTTGTATCTTTTATAACACAGAATAAACCTAATACAAACAAAAAACAAAGAGGTTATATACTGCCAATTTATAGGTAATAAATACAAATTGTGTTAAATGTTATGAGTGATAGAGTATAGAGATCTTAGACATATTGGCATTACCTGGTTTGCTTGGAGGTGGCGCAGTGGGTTTGCTTGCCCTGGCACCTGGTCTGCTAGTAACGGGTGCTGCTGCATGTCTAGCTTTTGCTGCTGTTTTTGTTTTTGTTTGGGGATGCATGAGAAAGGTAAAGGTCAAGCTGCTTTTATTTCTTTTCAACCCCCCCCCCTTTTTTTTTGGGGGGGGGGGGTAAATATAATGACAATAACTGCAAAGAAATATATAAAATAAAAAGATGGCAAAGGAATATGAAGAATGAGAAATGGGGCAAAGATTAGTAAGTGAGCAATGGTACAAGAACTTGTAAATTAGAAATTGAGAGGGTGAGATTTAATAATAATAATAATAATAATAATTAACGTTATTTGTATAGCGCATATCTCTAACACAAAGAAAGTCCCTATGCGCTAAATTAAGCTTAGAAAAGAAGCACATAGAGATAGGGCGGAATAGAAATGAACATTTATGCCTGATACATGAAAATAATTAATTACAAACAACAATAATGATACGCAATTCATATATAGCTTACATGTAACAGATTGTACATTCAGGTATTACAAATTTAAACATGAAAATTAAATGATAATTAAATTAAATATGTACAAGATACTCTAACCAAAGAACTCACTAAACAGCTGGAACAAAATGAACAATTTACAAAAAGATAGGTCTTCACCAGAGTCTTAAATGATTCTGTTGTGCTTGCCTGTTTGACAATATCAGGCAAACTGATCCACAATTCCATAACATTTTGTTTCAGTACTTGGAGCTACCAGGAGGGATTTACTATTTGATCTTAATTTTCTTGTAGGGGGATATTGTAGAATGAGATCTTGGAGATAAGACGGGGCTGTACCGTTTAGGCATTGATATTTCAGTAAAAGGATCTTATAATTAATATGGGACCTAACTGGTAGCCAGTGTAATTGTTTAAGTATGGGTGTTATATGTTCCCTGTGTTTAGTTCTAGTGATTAGTCTGGCTGCTGAGTTTTGGATTCTTTGTAATTTATTGGTGTCAAAATATACAAAAATGTGTGCTATTAGAGGAAGAAAATAAGAAGGAAAACGGTCATGAAGAACACTTGAAAACAGAGCTAGGTTGCAAGAAATAATTAATAAAAATTCAATTTTTGTTTATCAGGCAAAGCATGTGAATTTTTCATCTTTAACAAGTTACTTCTGAGCACTGAATTATAAAACCAAAGTAGCTCATCTTTTATTGAAACAAAGGTGAAAAGAGGCTGCATTATATTTGAGAAATTTGTTTAATTTGTTATTTATCCACAAAAGGCAATTTTATTTGGCTGGTCACTCAGCTTGGGAGGAGCACCCCCCCCCCCCCCTCCTTCTCCTTGGCCATGGCCTCTTAGGGTTAATTTAGCCTTTGAAGAAATGTTATGATGTGTATATATTCTTTGGCTCAATGAATACGTTAACATGCAAGCAAGCTTGAAAGTATGAATAGTTTATGACTCAGTCTCAGCACAATTCAAAGGATCTCAACAAACCTGGTTTAGCAGGTGCTGCTTTGGTATGAGCTCCGACCCGTGGTCTCATTGTAGCAGGACCTGGTCTAGCAACTGTAGGTCTAGTGACTGGTTTTGTTATTCCTGGTCTACTAGTGGCTGAAGGACCAAGTTTCCGTGTAGCAGGAACGGTGGGCCTCTTAGCTGGTGCAGGTTTAGTCATATCGAGCCGAGTTTTCTTAGCCACTGGAGCACCATTTTCAGCCTTTTTGTGGAAGAAACATTTCTTTTTAAAACACTTTTTCAAGGATAATAGTTACAAAACATTGTAATGTTTCTATGTAGTTAGAATAATTTTAATAGTTTCATACTATTAATTAAATGTAATGTTAACTGTTATTGTATAATTGTTTTAAATGGGGGCACGTTACAAGATTCCTATCTCGCACCCTGGGGCAACGTGTCTGACACGGCCGGTTGTAGCAACTATTCCGAAGATCAAGACACATTAATCTTGATCTAAGGAGACACGAACAAACGTAGTTATGAACGAATTTCATGTATTGCTTTATGGTTCACAACAAAATTTAAATGAATCTAGTAGAGTATGAATTTCTAATTCGTTTCAGAGAGACATTCAGTCAAATTAATTGCACTCACTCTTGGATTTACTTCACATGCATGAAACACCTTCTTCATTGTTTGGACAATAACATTATGAACATCCATGTATTAGAAATTGCTTAGACCCCCCAAAAAGGATGTTGTATCGCTCTTTAGGTGCCAAAACATGGGTCTGGCGGTCGGAAATCTTTTTTTCTTTCTCCCCCTTTGGGCTGATATTTATCAGTTTTATACGCTTTAAAACGATAAAAAAAAAAAAAAAAATCATTTAACCATTTCCCCCATAAAGTTTTACAGATTTTGGGGTCGGTCGCAAAGGGCAATACGACTTTTTTTTTTTTAATGCCTTATATGGAGTAAGTTTTCTACAGAAAAAGAAAATAAATAGTGTTAACACTGTATTGTTGCTCATACAAAATCAACGACATCTTCCTTTTGCATTGATTATTTCATATCTTATTCCTAATTTTGTGTAGAATGGTATAATACCTGGTTATCAGATAAAAGCATCCTCTTGAGTCCAGGCTGTGGGAGCTTAGAAGGTGGTCTCAGCTTACTCACACCACGACGGATCACATTGGGATCCTGTTCAGATAAAGCTGATCCCTGCAAGTGTGGAATACAAACACAATTGAAAAGAGTAATGTAACGTCTAAATAAATGAAATGACAGTCAACTCATACACAAGTTTCTTGCATTTTGTCAGGAAAATAAAAAAAAAAGTTTGAGGGCTCCATTATCCTACTCCCCCCCCCCCCTCAAGATTGTCAAGACATGGGCTGCACATTAAAAGTTTGACATAGGAAATAATTGTGTCTAGGTCTAGTCAGTATAAATAAAAGAAAATGCAACAAATGAAAGCGGTCAACACGGTCAAGACAAGAAACTGATAAATGATTCTACTCTGCCTGTGCTATCATACTATGATTAAAGCCAGAAGCAACATGGTTCCTGATTTCCTTGTGCACAGCAAGTAGTAATAGTAACCAGTAGTACACTGTAAGTATTACAAGAGAAATTGAAAGTAAGATGTGACTGAAATGTATTTCTGTTTTTATGTATCTTCCTATATATCCCCCAGCAACTTTTCACTATTAACATCATATCACTAAAAGAGCTATTCAACAAATTGCTTGAACTACAAATACACTACAAAGATTCTCACCTGACGAGACATACTGATGTTAGGAACTAAAGTGCAAGGTTGAAGAATGAAACTCTTTTCTACCTGTTGCTGCCTGCAAAGACAAAAAATGGAGGAGTAATTATCACTGTCATCAATCAATCAATCATCAGTCAAAATTGATCTGCAAGTAAAAAGTCATAATTGTGAGTGACATTGAAGTTGTCAGATGTGGGGTCCAACCTTGATAGACAAATATTAAAGATAAACTTTAGTACTGGTAATGCGATTGCGTTGTGAAAGAAAAGGTGTGGAAAGGATCAGAAACAGTTGATCATGTAGCATGTAAGTATTGGTGTGCACTGCAAGGTTCTGGAGTCATCAAAATCATAATACATTTGACCGAGTCTTGGTAAAGTAACAAGCACTCACATAGAAAGCTATATATGGGACAACACAGTGGTGTCGGGGCTAGTACTACCTTGATTTCCTTGTCTTTCTATGCTCATTACTCAGCCAGTATACATTTTCTTCCAAAATTGTTTGGCACAAGTCATTTATTTGTAATCTTGAACATTCAGTGTAAGTTTCGTTTGATTCTGTGAGAATTAATTTTTTTTTTTTACCAGTACAGGGGAGTGCAGGGAATAATTTTCCTCAAATTTTTTGATTAGCAATTTCAGCCGATGGATAAATATTTCAAATGAAATTCTGTACATTTCTATGGAAGAAAACTGCTACACAAAAGATATTTTGTATAGCAGTCATGCAAAAATGCATAGCAAATTGCGATGCGATACCAGGAAAATTATTCCCTGGAGTGTTTCACAAAGATCCTAAGTAGAACTTAACACTAAGTTGGACTTAAAAAGTATGGACAGCCATTGGAGCCTTAAAATGAAATATATTCAAAAGCAAAAATTGGAGTATTTTAGACTTTTCATCAATTCCACATCAAGAACATGAAATCTCCCATGATAATAGAAAATATGAATGATTTGAATCAACATTTTATGCCTTCTAAAAAAAAAATTACAAAATATTTTCAAGGATGCTAATGGCTTCCCATAAATTTTAAGTCCCACTTAGTGTTAAGTTCTACTTAGGATCTTTGTGAAACACCCCCCTGGAGTTTATCTTTAACAGAAAGTCAGACAAATCAGAAGCAGACTGGTGAAACTTTGAATAAAATTGAATCAAATATATTGAGCTTTTAACCAGTTGTGATGTTCTAGTAGAGAATATCCTTACAATATTTATTTCAATTCCAAGTCTGATGTCTGAGGATATTTCAGATAAAAACAACTTTGAAAGAGAACAGTGAGCAACATCTGGGAGCGGTTCAGTAGTTTTGTGTGCTTTTTCAGATGTGGATGGAGAAGAGCAATTCAGCTTAAAAAAAGCTTGGATTTTTAATTTCACCCAATCTGTGACTCTAAAAATGTCAGCAGGAGATTTGAAAATATATATACACTGTATAAATCAATTGTTCAATTTATTTAATTTTATCTATGAAAGGAGAAGTCCACCCTGATATTAAGCTGACTTTAATAGAAGCAGAAAAATGAGAGGAACAGGTCAGTGAAAGTTTGAGCAAATTCCAATTAAAAATAAGAAATACATTTTTTAAAGTTCCGATTGATCAAACACGAATTGGCAACTCTGTGATGTACATTATCTTGCGAGGTGATCTCCAATTTGCTAGTTGTTATGAACATTTTCATAAACTTTCATTTTCTTTATTATTGATGATAGAATAGATAGGGGTTGCAGGATTTGGGGCTCATCTTTTACATTGTAGGATCATGGGGGGGGGGGGGGTTGTGTGTCTGAAGTCTGGGATACCTTACATAAATAAAGCCTTCTCTTTTGCTTTCAGAGTTGGCTAAACATATTCATGAAATAGCACTATAGCCCAGTAACCATCATGAAACAATTTGTCTTACTGTCTTTATCATGACTTTTTTAGTTGCAGCGCGCACTCCGATCTGACATCAAATTTGTTAGATCTTAGACATTACAGTTAGATCGTGATATCTCCGGAATCCTTTGAACAAGTTTGAAAGTTTGAGTTTGACAATTAATACATTTTCTAATTGAACTAATTTGTAGTAAAAAACTTTGCCGTACATTTGGTTATAATTGAAATATATAATATTGTATAGAATATGAACAACCATAGATCGAATATCACATTTTCTAATATTTTCAAAATTTCTGGGAACTTTGGTCACCCTTTTAATTTCAAAGTAAGTTCTTTTCAATACTGAATTTCAGTGAATAGTCTATTACTATTAGATTCATATTGCTCTGGTTTAAGTGAATGGACACCATAAAATGAACTACTAACAGAAGGGGAGCTGGTCCGAGAATAAGGATCGTCTGCATCAATGAGGATCGTCTTTGTAAACGCATACCAATGCGTCCTCAAAAATAGGGATCGTTCGCTCTTTTGCAGATGTTTCATATTTTTGATCAGCGCGTTGGCCATGCAAAAGACAGATTCCGGGATGTTCATGAAATAGCACTAGCCAATTATTGAAGGAACCAGATCATGAAAAAATTTGTTCTGTATAATGTTGTCTTTATGACTTTTTTAGTTGCAGCGGGCACACCGATCCGACATCAAAATTTAGATCTTAGAGTTAGATCGTGATATCTCCTGACTCCTGAATCCTTTTTGAAAATTTTACTTTGAGTTTGACAATTAATACATTTTCTAATTGAAGTTATCGAACTAGAGTAAAGTAGGGAGTTTTCGGCCACTAAAGCAAATCCTATTTTTGGACTTTTACTTCCTATTTATTATCATTTCTCTCATCAACCCCATACTATTATTATTTTAACAACAAAAAAAAAGAATCCCAGAAAAAAATCATGAATTGCCATGGCAATATTCATTGTCATGTTCACTGTTTCGAAGGTAGTTTTCGGCAGCATGAACGTACGTAGTCAATAGGGAGCGCGCCCCGTGCATTCCCCGCTGATCTATAGCACTGGCTCGCTGTGGTACGAAAAAATAAGACATGTGTGGTAAGAGCACGTAAACCCCGCATGGCCGAAACTACACCTGTGGGATCAGAAATTGGAATCTAAACTGAACAGAGATACGCCGCTACAGTATCTGACTGCAGTGAGATACTTTTGAGCTTGCGATACTCAACAAATCTGACTCTAAATCTGAAAAATACAGCTCATTTTATGGTAGGGTAGCGCGCCCGGTATTCGGTAACTTAAGGGGAAATTGCAAGTATTTTACATTCTTACCTCCTTTATTTGGCAATCTACCCATCAAAAGAAAAGAAAATCAGTCCTCTAACAGGATTTTAAAGTCTCTTTAATATAGAATGATCATGATGATAAGCAAAATATTTCCGAAAGAAGAAAGAGTTTTGTGGCTCATAAATTATTTGTTAGTGTGTTACAGCTGTAGAAATGGCTGTCTGACCGAATTCTGGTAATTGACCGAATACCGGGCGCGCTACCCTACCCATTTTCAAATTCCACAGTAACGGAAGGACACTCAGACAAGATTTTTGAACTTCAGGTTCATACTAAAAGAACTGTTTTATTAGTATGTATTAAACTATGGGGAACAAAATGTGTTTCAGTCAAGTGAAAAGCTTCATCAACTTCACAAAGTTTGGATAAACACTAATTAACTGGAAAAACCATGTCCATTTTTATGTCCTTCCGTTACCGATATAATTAATATGCACATTCTTAAAGTACTTAACTTTAATGACAATTTTTTTGGGGAGAATTAAAGGCACTTATATAGGTATTATATCTTTACTGTTTCACATCTTATACTAATAAAACAGTTCTTTTAGTATGAACCTGAAGTTCAAAAATCTTGTCTGAGTGTCCTTCCGTTACCGTGGAATTGCCCTATCACCTTCAGGGGCAATCCTATATTTTAGTGTGTTTTATTATTTTGGGTTTTTAACTTCAGTTAACAGCTCTACGTGCATATCATAGGGTTAGGGTTAGGGTTAGGATTAGGGTTAGGGTAGGGTTAGGATTAGGGTAGGGTTAGGGTTAGGGTTAGGTTTAGGGTTAGGGTTAGGGTTAGGGTTAAACTGAAGTTAGAAACCCAAAATAATAAAACACACTAAAGTAGGCCTATAGGATAACCCCTTCAGGATCACAACAGATTAAGGTTTGAATCTAAATTATTTTTAAAAACTTGACCAATTTTGCAATGCACATGACATAGACTCTAGACCTAATCTAACTTTTAGATCTATAGGGATGTGTGCAATAAGTATGGGAAGGGTTTAGCACACAAAACGTGGTGCGCGATCAGAAACCCTAACAGTTAGTATACAAATAACGCACGTCCCAGAGTGCAATAGCGGTGAATGCAGAATGCGCGAGGTTTCTTTAGATTGGTGCCGCTCTGTGCAACGAGCCGCTTGCGGCGAGTTGACAGTGCGAACCATCTGAAGAAACCGAGCGAACACTGCATTTACGTTTCGCACAACAGGGTCAAGTGCGTTATTTGTTTTATAAAATAGCGACACAAACAGCAACAAACAAAAGTTTAGATCTTAAGTATACGAGAGTTCGATCTAGATCTAGAGTTATGTTGGTTCTAGAAATAAAATGAGGGTCTAAGACCTTGCAGGCTTACCAAAAAGTCCACGGGATTCATTGTTTGATTAAAAATAAAATGCATACACTGTAGGGTGTCTAGAGACGAGTCTACTTCAGACAGCTGAAATTCCTGGCTTCATTATAAAATCCAAAAGTCAAAACGGGTCTAAATCCAAGGCAAAAGTAAAACAAAAATTTGCTTTCTAATAATACCCCGTTCTAGCTAGAGCTAAGCTACGCGTACGCTGCGCTGGGGATCATGGTGGATATGGAGCGTACAATATTAGCTACGCGTAGCCTATAGCCTACAATGTACTCGAGGGAGCGTACTAGTACTACGCGTACGTGCGCGCACTGGATCTCCATGGTCACGTACGCGCCGTGCAATTATAACTTTTTGTTGCGCTTTTTCTGCACTCATTTCTGCAAAATCGTGCTTGCATCAAAAATTTGTCAATGTCATGTGACGCGTATTGACCAATCACGATGCTTAAAATACTAGAGCCATTTTATAATGGCAGTTAGTAGACCCTAGTAGCCTAGTAATGCCATTGGTAATGGTAGACAGGTAGACAGGTCATTTCTTTAATAAAAGTTAAAACTGCGGTCAGAGGAGCCAGTAGACAGAAATAACCGTCTGATATGGGTCATTTCTTTAATAAAACTGACATTTGTTGACATTCCCCATATACATAGAGGCGGTCAGAGGAACAACCGTCGATATGATATCAGGGACTGAAGCTTTCGGTCTAACAGGTTATGCCTAGGCCTAGATCAGTAGATGCCACTGTGTGCATCGATCGACATTTGGCAATGCCAACCATAGACCGAAAGCTTCAGTCTCTATAATCGTCGGTTGTTCCACTGAGACTACGTCTGGCTCCACTAGACCTCCGGTTATAGAGACTGAACGATCGCCTATACCATCGTATGTTGAAGATATCACGGCTAGATTTTAGCCGCTAGGCCCCTCCCACAAACATGACAAACTTGCCACGGCCACGGCCGTATTGTTATGCCCCCAAAATCCCCCAAAATGTCATTTTACCTCGTTCATTTCCAATTTTAAATTAGGCCTAGGCTATAATACATCGGTTCCACTTACTAACTTTATTGATATAATCCGTTTAATGGTCCCTTTTAAGGAAATTATGGGTCAAAATCGACATCCATGTTGAAAATCTTGCAAGCCGTGTTAAACTCTCGCTGCCGTCAATCTCATCCCTTCTAGTCTACGCCGAAGGCAAAATGATTATGAAGGAAAAACTGCGCCATCTACACGTTCGTAATGGCGTTATCACAGTTTTTCCTTAATGAGGTAAAATGACATTTTGGGGGATTTTGGGGGCATAACAATACGGCCGTGGCAAGTTTGTGGGAGGGGCCTAGCGGCTAAAATCTAGCGGAATAAGTTCAACACAGGCTGGCATAGGCAGTCGTTCAGTCTCTATAACCGGAGGTCTAGTGCCGTGGAGCCAGACGTAGTCTCAGTGGAACAACCGACGATTATAGAGACTGAAGCTTTCGGTCTATGCCAACCATAGACCGAATTTTCCGTCTCTTTCGTTCGTTAGCCTCTTATTGGGGTAGGGTCGGCTCTCTCTTTAGAGACGGAAGCCGTTTATACACATGTCCTTGCTAACGCCACGGCCAGTTCTGGTCGTAGCGTTTTGCCCCCAAATTAAATCCCCCAAAATGTCATTTTACCTCGAGCATGTTAGATCTAGATCTATAGTCTATTGTAAATTAGGCCTAGGCTATAATAAATCAGTTCCACTTACCAACTTGACTGAAATAATCAGTTTAATAGTCCCTTTTTAGGAAATTATGGGTCAAAATCGGAATCCATATTCCATGTTGAAAAAGATTTTCAAAATGGATTTCGATTTTGACCCATAATTTCCTAAAAAGGGACTATTAAACTGATTATTTCAGTCAAGTTGGTAAGTGGAACTGATTTATTATAGCCTAGAATCTAGGCCTAATTTACAATATAACATGCTCGAGGTAAAATGACATTTTGGGGGATTTTGGGGGCAAAACGCTACGACCAGAACTGGCCGTGGCGTTAGCAAGGACATGTGTATAAACGGCTTCCGTCTCTAAAGAGAGAGCCGACCCTACGGCCTACCCCAATAAGAGGCTAACGAACGAAAGAGACGGAAAATTCGGTCTATGCCAACCAATGCAATGCCAATGCCATGGCTTTTAATTCAAATATTCCAATAAAGGCAATATTGCTCCAATATAGATCTAAAGCTGCAATCTAATTCACTGTAAGATATGTATTGATTTGAAGCACATTAAAATTAACACTATTCCATAACCTGTAATTTCATACTCGTGACAAATCTTACCACTTTTCCGGGGATTGCGATGGACACACCTCACATGCACAGCGACCGGCTTGGTGGTTTTGAAATTCACAGCATTCAGATATCTATGACGTGATTGGCCAAGGAATTCAGGGGAGATTCACAATTAACAGCGCCCCCACCGGCAAGCCACGACTAGCCAATTTTTGAGCTCGCGGTAATACCACAACTATACACGTACTGCTCCTACAAACTATTGTTCTCATGTTAGTATACAACAGAACCACATTGTATGCAGGGGCGTCGCTAGACCTTCTTCAGTGGGGGGTGTAGAGGCCAACGATTACCGACAAAAATAGCCACCAATTACCGAAAAAATTAAATGTCCGATATCTATAAATTCAACCCTATAAACCTGGGGCCGAAGGCTAAATTGTTTTTCCTATGGACTATCTATAGTACTTGCATATGCGCAAAATGGTCATTTTCCTCGACGACATAAATATACGAATTATTTCTTCAATTTAGTTAGCATATCATAGCTATATATTTTAATGCAGGCGCGGAGCTAGGATCTTATTTTAGGGAGGGGCGGTAGTGAGCAAGAGAATCATTTAATAGCGCGGAAGCAACAAATGTATTAACCCCCACCCCCTTCTATCACTCTAAAAGTCATATGCGCCAAACGTTTAAGTTTGTTCTGGACATTGGTTGATATGCGCTCAAATAAGACCTTTTTATTGTCGGCTGCTAGAATTTTTACACACCGTATTCGATGAGGTATATAATAATCTACATTTCATGTGAGTTTCAGCATATTTAAAGCACATGGGAAATTAGCAACGAATGTATTAACCCCCACCCCCTTCTATATACTCTAAAAGTCATATATGCGCCAAAGGTTTAAGTTTGTTCTGGACATTTGTTGATATGCGCTTAAATAAGACATTTTTAATATCGGCTGCTAGAATTTTTGCACCCCGTATTCGATGAGGTATATAATAATCTACATTTCATGTGAGTTTCAGCACATTTAAAGCAAATGGAAAATTAGCAACGAATGTATTAACCCCCACCCCCTTCTATATACTCTAGACGTCATATGCGCCAAACGTTTAAGTTTGTTCTGGACTTTGGTTTATATGCGCCCAAATAAGACCTTTTTAATGTCGGATGCTAGAATTTTTGCACCCCGTATTCGATGAGGTATATAATAATCCAGGCGCGGATCCAGGATTTCTTAGGGGGGGGCCCAAATTTGAAATTATGCGAGACAAAAATTGGTACGTTATGGTGACCAACAGTGACGTAATGCGGGGGGGGGGGGTCGGTGCGAGTTTCCCCCTCCCAGGCTTTGACGTTTCATTATATTATTAGAGAAAGAAAACGATCCTTTGTACAGTTCTCGAAAATAATTCTCGTCTGAATTTAGTTTTTCTCCTCCCGCGCGAAGCGCGGAAAATTTTACGATTTATTAAATTATTAGAGAAAGAAGACGATTCGTTGTACAGTTCTCGACTCTTAATCCTTGTCTTAATTCAGTTCCCCCCCCCCCCTCCCCCTCCTGCGCGAAGCGCGGAAGCTTTGACGTTTTATTAAACTATTAAAGAAAGAAGACGATTCGTTGTACCGTTCTCGAAAATAATTCTCGTCTAAATTTAGTTTTTCCCCTCCCGCGCAAAGCGCGGAAAATTTTACGATTTATTAAATTATTAGGGAAAGAAGACGATTCGTTGTACAGTTCTCGACTCTTAATCCTTGTCTAAATTCAGTTCCTCCCCTCCCCCTCCTTCGCGAAGTGCGGAAGCTTTGACGTTTTATTAAACTATTAAAGAAAGAAAACGATTCGTTGTACCGTTCTCGACTCTTAATCCTCGTCTGAATTCAGTTCCCCCCCCTCCCGCGCGAAGCACTGAAGCTTTTACGTTTCATTAAATCATTAGATAAAGAAGACGATTCGTTGTACTGTTCTCGACTCTTAATCCTTGTCTAAATTCAGCCCCTCCCTCTCCCCTCCTGCGCGAAGCGCGGAAGCTTTGACGTTTTATTAAACTATTGAAGAAAGAAGACGATTCGTTGTACCGTTCTCGACCCTTTATCCTCGTCTGATATGAGTCCCCCCCCCCCTCCCGCGCGAAGCGCGGAAGCTTTTACATTTCAATAAACCATTAGAGAAAGAAAACGATTCGTTGTACAGTTCTCGACTCTTAATCCTTGTCTAAATTCAGTTCCTCCCCCTCCCCCTCCTGCGCGAAGCGCGGAAGCTTTGACGTTTTATTAAACTATTAAAGAAAGAAGACGATTCGTTGTACCGTTCTCGACTCTTAATCCTCGTCTGAATTATGTTCCCCCCCCCCCTCCCGCGCGAAGCGCGGAAGCTTTTACGTTTCATTAAATCATTAGAGGAAGAAAACGATTTGTTGTATAGTTCTCGACTCTTAATCCTTGTCTAAATTCAGTTCCTCCCCCTCACCCTCCTGCGCGAAGCGCGGAAGCTTCTACGTTTCATTAAATCATTAGAGAAAGAAGACGATTCGTTGTAAAGTTCTAGACTCTTAATCCTCGTCTGAATTCAGGTTCCCCCCTCCCGCGCAAAGCGCGGAAGCTTTTAATCTTCATTTAATCATTAGAGAAGAAGACGATTCAGTGTACCGTTCTCGAAAATAATCCTCATCGGAATTTAGTTCCCCCTCCATCCCGCGCGAAGCGCATAAGCCTTTACGTTTCATTAAATAATTAAAGATTCGTATTACTGTTCTCGCCTCTGAATCCAATTCAGTCCCCCCCCCCCCCCTCCCCTCCTGCGCGAGGCTTTGACGTTTTATTATTAGAGAAAGAAAATGATGCGTTGTACCGTTCTCTATACTCTTAATCCTTGTCTGAATTTCAAAGATGTTCTTTGTCTGCTCCTTTTTCTTCCTACGTCCTCTTCCGATTGAGGGGGGGGGGCCGCCCCCCCCCCCTGGCTACGCGCCTGCGGTCAGATAAACACATCTTGATACCTTGTCCGACCCCGCAAGCTCAGGGGTTTAAGGCAATAAATTACGGTCAGATAAGCATTCAGGGGCCCGCCTTAGGGCCCCTCGTGGGGTCGAGGCGGCGGAGCCGGCCCCGGAAGCTCAGGGGCTTTAGGCGTTTAATTAAGGTCAGATGAGCATATTTTTGTGTATACCTTATTATTTTGTGACACTGGCAAGTCACTATTTGGCGTTGGGTCCAGGGGGCGGAGCCCCAAAAAATCAGGGGTTTTAGGTATTAAATTACCGTCAGATGATCATCTAAGGGCCCGTCGTAGGGCCCTAGATGGAATCCAGGGGGCAAATCCCCCGAAGCTTAGGGGTTTTAGGCATTTAATCACGGTCAGATGAGCATATTTTGATGCCTCGAGGCTCTCGATCCCCGCCGTACGTCGGGCCCTGACATGTAGGAATCTCAAGAATCATATTTTTTGCCTGGTTGTAAATTTAGGAATTTTTTTATTTTCCAACAAACACATACAAACGTATAATTTACTAAAAAGTGAGGAAAAATTTCGGAAATTATGTCATTCAGCATTATCTGTAATACACCGTTGTGGAATCAGAAATAAACCACGTTTGAATTTGATTTCCCCCAAGCCCCCCCCCCCCCTCTATCAGTACGCCAGTATCTCCTCTTTTCCTTTTTTTTCTTTCCCTTTCCTTCCTTCTCTCTTATTTTTTTTTTGATCGGGGGGGGGGGGGTGGGGGGTTAACAGCCTGGGAGGTAAGGCCCTTTCGGCCCCCCCGATCCCCTTCTTCCCCCTTTACTTTTCTTCTTCCTCCTCTTTCTTTCCCTTTTTCTCCTTTTTCCCTTTCTCCCTTCTTTTCCTTCTTCTCTCTCTCTCTCTCTTTTTTTTTTTTTTTTTTTTTTTTGCGGGGGGGGGGGGGCAAGGCCCGCTCGGCCCCCCCCCCCCTGGATCCGCGCCTGTAATAATCCACATTTCATGTAATTTTCAGCAAAATTAAGACAAATTGGAAGTAGCGGCGAATGTATTAAACGCCGAAACCCCCTTCACCGATATACTCTACATGTTATGCGCTATACGTTTAGGTTTGTTCTGGACATTGGTTGATATGCGCTCAAATAAGACCTTTTTAATGTCGGCTGCTAGAATTTTTGCACCCCGTATTCGACGAGGTATATAATAATCTACATTATTTTCATGTGAGTTTCAGCACATTTAAAGCAAATCGGAAATTAGCAACGAATGTTTTAACCCCCACCCCCTTCTATATACTCTAGACGTTATGTGCACCAAACGTTTAGGTTTGTTTTGGACATTGGTTGATAAGCGCTCAAATAAGACCTTTTTAATGTCGGCTGCTAGAATTTTTGCACCCCGTATTCGACGAGGTATATAATAATCTACATTTCATGTGAGTTTCAGCACATTTAAAGCAAATCGGAAATTAGCAAAGAATGTTTTAACCCCCACCCTCTTCTATATACTCTAGACGTTATGTGCACCAAACGTTTAGGTTTGTTCTGGACATTGGTTGATATGCGCTCAAATAAGACCTTTTTAATGTCGGCTGCTAGAATTTTTGCACCCCGTATTCGATGAGGTATATCTAACGGCCACGCCACGCCGTCTTCTATTATGATGAAATAATAGAATCGAGCTCCGAGTGAAATCAGGTTTTTGTATTGGTCCGCTAGCTATATGACTTTCACTCGGGGGTGGGGTTAGTCTCAAATAGACCACTGTATCAATGTATGGTATTATATTATTAAAATATAAAATACAAAGAGACAAATCCAGAAATAAAGTGCTTGGACACGATTTGAATTACGACGTCACTTGGTAATTATTTAATTAATATGAATGACAAATCTCATCCATCAAAGCAGGATAATAAAAATAATACAATTTATATATAAATGTTGCAATAAATATAATTGCAAAGTATTCTTAAGAGTTAAAGGGTGACTTAATTCTTACTTAATTACAGTCTAATGGGGAAGGGGAAGGGATAGGTTAATGGAAATGAAGTTAGTAATTATGGCCACTTAGCTCGCTGATATTTCGATCGAGGACTTGACTTGGGACGAGATGCGACTGGGACGAACGAACTTGGACGAGACTTGGAGGAACTTGACTTGGAGGAACTTGACTTGGCGGGAACAAAGCTGGGCAGGATATGACAGGAA